TAGGTAAAGACCTTATTCTGTCAGACCCTCAGGCTAATGGGAATGCATCCAGTATTATGGCCAAGCAGGTTGCAATCAAATAACATACTTCCAAGTCTTCACTTGTCATACCTGTTATGAGGGATGTGGGTACCTGGTTCCTGGGTCAATATGAATGCCTCTAGGACCTTGTTAAATAGGGATTTTACTGGGACCAGGGTCCACATCAGGACCGGAATTGTATCTGCAGATTCAGGTCTGTTACCAGGTTCATGGGCAGATGTGATTCCTGCTGAGTGCCTGGGAGGGATTATGCTGGCTCATTGAACAGGTTCCTGAACAAGCATAACTGTCCCTAGGTCATGCCTGAGTGGGCTGGAAGCAAGTCACAGGACTGCTTCAGGGTTTACAGCTGGAGCCAATATCAGCAGCTCAGCCTTTGGATGTACAGATGAGTTCATCTCCCATTGAATTGTTAGGTGGACATAACTACCCTCAAAACTCAGCTGAGATAGATTGGAGCACAGTTGCATACCTTTGTTAGTATATTCTATGGGAATAAACTCAGTGGCCTTCCCCTGGAGACATGAGTGAACATGTCTCTTTCTGGTTGTCTGGGCAACCTGAATGACTCCCAGATCATGGCTGAGGGGGTCTAGAGCTGGGTTGCATAGATACTTCAGGATCTGTATTTGAATGACTGCCATGCCTATGTCAGGCATGTAGGTAGGTGTGTCTACTGCATTGTTCTTGTGTGGGCAGAACTATGGGAGGTGCTTTAAGTGGGTCATAAGCTACTTTGATGTCCACATGTGGGACTGAGTCAGCAGGTCTATGATTCTAGGCATGGGTGGGTGTGACTCTTCCCACATAGTAGACCAAGAGGCTATATCAAAACCAAGGGAGGAAGGGCTGTTTCTAGATCTTTAACTGGGGCCATGTTCCATGATCTTGCCACCTGTGCATGCGTCTGCCTTTTCAGAATAACCCTCCTCAGTCTAAGGTTCCATTGGGGTTTCACAGCTTCCCACTTGGATCTCAGAGCTCCCATATAAACCTTTTTCCTCACAATATCTACCAAATTATTGTTGCTAAGGGGAGATACAAGCAGAGGCCCTCTTCTGTCATCTTGTTGACATCACTCCAAAAAATTCACTTTTAAAACAGATGTCATTAACTGCTGAGAGTAAAATAGCTATCACTCTAGAATTATATACCCCAAATAAGCTAACTAATCTTTTCATCTAGCAATTCCATTCCTAGGTATATACAAAGCAATGCACTGAGCATTATGACCTAAGTGTAAATGATTAGTAGGAAAGGTGTAAATGAATTATGATTTATATGTGATGAAACACAAAGAGCAGGTAAAAGGAATAACCTAGGCTAATATATCTCAAGATATATAATGTTGAAAAAAACGGAGTAGCATATTATATATTTTAAGTCCAACATGAAAAAATTTTATCATTTGTGGATATATATTTATGTTGTAAAATATCACAAAACACATGAGAGTGGAGTATATCAATTTTCAGGTTGGAGTTATCTGTGGGGAAAAAAGGAAAGATGTGAGACTGGGGTATATTTGGGGGGGGGAGTAAATAGCAAAATATCCAGATTTGCTGTAGCAAAATAGCAGGTACATGGGGGAACCTTTAGGTTTCTCAGTGGATTTCAAATATGGTACAATAAAAAATGGGAAGCAGAGAGGTGACTGTGTATATAGCACCTAGATGGGCGTGGTGGCCTGTCTATCTTTATGAGGTGTCACAGAGAGTGATGCAATAGAAGAGTCACAGGCTTTTCAAAATTTGCTTACTCACAGTTTCCCCCTTGAAGGAGAAATACCTGTGAAGTAAGAAGACCTAAAACAAACCAAAAACTATTATGGGTAGCTTCATTTTTTCCATAAAATAGGAAAGAGACAACAAATGGTATCTTTCATTCCATGAGCTCTATGCTACTTGGTGGGGGAAGATGAATGGCAGAACAAAAATGAGAAGGGGTGCACGGTTTTTTCGAGGTCATTCAGAAGAAACTGGCAGCAGTGCAAGTTTTAATGTTTTGCTCTCAGAGCATGAAAACCCTGATGGAAATGGGTATGTAACTTCACAGAATGGTTTCTGTAAGAGCTTATGTTGTACATGTCATGTGTGAAGTTTGTGCCCTGTTTACCTGGAAAATAACTGAACAGATGTTGTTACTTCCTTTTAGAGAAAATCATTTCCAGTTTCTATCAGTCACCATGTTTCCTGTGGCATGCTCTCTTCTTTCTATGTCAGTGGTATTTAGATTAATTACAGAAGTCTGGAGACAAGGACTATGAAAGAGAAGCCATATTTTTAAAAAATGAACCTCAGCAGCAGTAATTTAAACCTTAGAGATGACTCAATTTTCACTGAAGGCCTAACTATCCAGTCTCCGTGGTATACAGAGCTCAATGCTGGACAGAAAGTGCTAGCTATAGAGTGGTGTTTGTTACACTCTCAGATGAGAATTGACTAAACAGCTTGATAGTGGATACACATTTTGGGCTAATAATTGAGTTTCCCCTAGTAAACATTACATAGTGCCTGGACAGAGTTTGCAGGGAAGCCCTGTCCACTTGAATGAGCCAATTATGCTGCCTGATGGGACAAGAAAACTGAAAATGATGAAATAACCATCCCAATAGTACCAATGAAGCACTTGCATAGAAACAAAACTGTGTTTAAAAAAATGCTGAATTAATCTTTGATAAATATTATAATATAATAATTTTAATCAAACCAGTCCTCTAGCAGAGACCATAATTAACCTTTGAATACCTTTCTTTAGATAGTGGGCTCTACCACTTCCTATATGACCAGTAATAATTAAAGGATTGAATGATTTCAAGAACATACTTTCTGGAAGTAAGAGTGAGGAAAACTCTCTTAGCTACTTTGGGGGAGGTGAGGCACTTAGAACTTCTGTTAAGGAATTGGGTGACTCATTCTAAGTCTCCCTGTGTATTGAAGCTGTAGGTTTGCAAAGCTCAACTGACATTATAACTCAAGAGCAGATCAGTAAAGAGTAAATTTGTACAACATTTCATCAAGTAACTCAAAAAACATTAAGTAATCTGTTTAATGATAGTTGAACATAATTAAGTAAAATTTAAGGAAATACTCGTATCTAAATATGAATCACATCATTTCCAGACTTTAAGGTTATCTTCTTAGACATTCCTTATAGACCTGGGCAAGGAATTGTGCTTTTCAGTTGATGGAGACTAGTTCAGAGCCAGTAGGTGAACCAAGGTGCTGAGAGAATTGATGTTCTGGGAGCAGTCACCAATCTTTCCTAAATTGCGACACAGATCTTCCCCTGTTGCTTTCAACTTACAGCCTTGTGTTCTAGCTCAAATTATTTAAGCAACCCCTTTTTCCTTTAGTACTTTTTTAAAAGGTTGAGTGTGAAGGTTGGTGATGTCACTTAGTGGTAGAGCATTTGCCTAGCATGCATGAGACCCTGCATTTTATCCTTAAATCCACCAAAAAAAAAAAAAAAAAGTTGAATGTGAAAAGGTTCTAATTACAACTGCTTTATAAAACTGCTTGGCAAAATCTGCTGCAGTTAAATATGTACATATGTCTCAGCAATTCCTCTCTTGGAAATATACCTAAATGACATGCATATAGATGTTCATCAACAAATCATGTATGAGAATGTCCATAGTAGCATTGCTTAAGAATATTTGTTACAGAATTGTCCTAGTCCCAAATGCCCATCGATATTAGAATAGGCACCTGGGTTATATCCACATGGTGGGAGATTAGAGAGTCATGAGGATATAACCTCATGAGAATGATTGAAAACACAACAACACACAGCGGAGAAATGACTTACAAGCATATGCTGAGGAAAGGCAGACAGAGCACATACACACCGGAGTACCACCTAGGTACATGGCAAAACTGAGCACACCTAGTTGGGATAGAGCTCAGGAGAGCTGTTACCTTCAGAGGTAAAAGACATAGATATGAGAGGGCTTTCTGATGGACCGGGTATATTCATCTATGTGAGCTATGATTTTAAAAACCAGAGACTGGAAGAGTTTAACAGAAGAAATTAATTTTCTTAGAGTTTTGGAGCAGAGATCAAGGTTTCAGTTGATTTAATCTCTGGTGAGGACTCCTTTCCTGCCTTGCAGACAGCCACCAACTGCTTGTGTCCTCGTGTGGCCCTTCTTTTGTGTGCACAGAGACAAAGTGCTCTGGACTCGTCCTCTTCCCCTTCCTCTAAGGACATCAGCCCTATCCATTTAGGGCCCACTCAGATGAACTCATTTAACCTTAATTAGACCCTAAAGATCCTGCACATCCCCTATGGCCATTTACAGATTCTGTCTTCAAATATAGTCACACGGTTGGGGGAGTGCTTCAACATCTGCATGCAGGGGGGCAGGAGTGCAATTAGAGTCCACAGCACTGAGGAGGCTCTACTTATAGTTCTGGGTGAGGTGCATGGATATGTTCATTCTAGGAAGGTTCATTGTGCTATACAATTATTATTTGTGTATTTCTGTGTGCATGCTATCTATATCTTAATACAAAGTTGAAAGAGGCTTATGATGACTTAAAAATTTATAAAATAATTTTTATCATTGTACTTTAGTTTAATACCTAATTCCTGCGAAATCAAAGCCATACTTGAGACTTTCAGGATACCTGTCTTCATTTTTTTCTCATCAGCATTTAAAGAATATAGATAGGCATATAATATGACCACAGTTATATATGTGTGAATAAGGACCTTGAAAGTATGGATGTGTGTACCTTAAGAAAATTATTTTCTCTCTATTTCAAGAATAATGGATTAGGGATTAAGTTAACTCACAGAATCTATGTAGAATAAGCATGAATGTGAATAGCAAGCATGTTTACTTGGGGAGTAGTGGCTAAAGTCCAAGTTAAAGCTTAATAGTAATGGATTACACTGTAAAATTCTTCTTCTCTTTTATTTTTTACTGGCTTTTTTTTTTTTTTTTTTTGTAGGTTAACTCGATCATGGAAGATTATCTTAAGTATAATATTTATATTTACTTTTCTTCTTGTGGGTAAGTCTTAACTAATGATCCTTAAAGCAGTTTCACAGGATATATCTGTACAGTAAGAGAGATCTCAGTGGAATGGCTTATATTTGTAATTAAGTGCCACAGAAAACAATGTAAGGGAACTGCACATTTTGGAAGCATTTTTTCTTTTCTTTTTTTTTTTTTTTTTTTGTCTCTCATTGTAAAAGAAATATGTTTATTTATAGAAAACTTTAAAAAGTTTTTTTTTCTCTTAGAATTGTAGTTTAAAATAACAGAAGTTGCTATAAAATTTAGAGTCCTTAATACATTTATTGCAAATACATTTTACATTTTCTAAAGTTGGGTGGCTCAGTTTGGACAACCAAAGACTTAGTCATCACATGGTTCCAAAGATATTGCTGTTTTACATGCAGTTTTTGGCTTTTGACTCACCAGTATTACAAATCACAACCCTTGGACATTAGAAAGTTTCTCTTGAATGTGTTGACAACTTAAGATATGGAATTCCTACTGAAACCAGGGTTTCAACTTGGTTATTTCCACAAAATGTTATTTATAATATAGCAGTATTCTGTGTGCTGTTATTGTTTTTGTTGTTGTTGCATATGTATACCTGAACTGCTGCCTTAGCCTGACCCTACATCAGCTCAAAGTGAGCATGGCTGCATCCTCTATCTGTAGCTTTAGTGAACTGAAAGCACCCCTCCTAACTCAGGGGATCTCTACTAGGTCTTGAATGTTCTTGTTTCTGGTAAGAACTGCACACTTCTTGACTTGCTTTGTTTCCTGGCTGTCTTTTCTTCATCTCAGTTAACCTTGAAACTGTTACCTTCATCTTTTCTTCCCCCCTCTGGTTGCTGCTACCACTGTCTTGTCATCCTTATGGATGAAATATCCTCACAGGTCTGGCTCAGGCTCATATGTAGTGATATAAACCTGTTTTATTCTGGCTCCACTTCAGTGCCTGACTTAGGTGCACACAGTGTGGGAAGTAGAGCTTTTTATGTTCAGAATATTTCTCACTCTAGAAATTATATTTTATTTTCGTCTGACATCTGTGTTGTGTTATCATGACAATATACCTAAGATAATCAACTTAAAACAAGAAAGGTTTGTTTTAAGCTTATTAATTTCAAAAGCTTCAGACAATGACCAGTTTGCCCATTGCTTTTGGGCTGATGACAAGGCAGTACATCATGGTGGGAGCATGTGATAGAAGAAACTGATGATCTCATGGTGTCCAGGAAGTGAAAGAGAGAGAAAAGATAGGCCTTGGCCTTTGGGGAACACTTATACAAACTGTAGCAACATCTTGTAAGATACACATATATCTTGGATACAAACTGCTTATTTTTATTTTCTTAATTTCAAGCTGGCTAATTTACCAACAAATGTGCTAGATCCATTTTAGATCCTACTGATGCATTAATGATTTCAGTAGGATTAAGTTGGATTCTGATACTCTTGTTCTGTACTGAGATGAAATTACATAATATAAAATTAACTATTTTTTTAAAGGGAATACCATGCTCCAAACATTTTTTATTTTTATTTATTTGTTTTTATGTGATGCTGAGGATCAAACCCAGTGCCCCACACATGCCAGGCAAGCACTCCACCACACCACTGAGCTACAACCCTAGCCAAATTAACTATTTTTGAATGAATAATTCAGAGGCATTTAGTACAATCACAATATTGTGTAATCACTTCCTCTCTGTACTAACTAAACATATTCATCCCTCCCAAAGGAATCACCCTGTACCAGATGAGCAGTTTGCTCCCCATTTCCCCCCTACTCAGACCCTGGTAGCCACCAATCTGTATTCTGTCTCTAAGCACTTACTTCTTTTGGAATCATACAACATGTGTCCTTTCTTGTGTCATTTCTTTAGTTTAGCATAATATTTTGAAGGGTCATGCATATTGTCGGGTGTATCAGTCAGTCCTTCATTCATTTTCATATCTAAATAATACTTCGTTATATGTATGTACTGCATTTTATTTATCCTTCTATCTACTGATGGACACTTGGACTATTTCCACCTTTTGGTTATTGTGGATAGTGGTGTTATTGTGGATAGTGGTGTTTGTTTGAATATCTGCTTTCTTTTGAGTACATACGTAACAGTGGAGTTGCCAAGAAAGAACTGGCAGACTGTTTTCCACAGTGGCTGCACCACTATGAATTCCCACCAGCAGTATATGATGAGCCTGATTGTTCCACATCTCTCCAACTCATTTTATTTTCCGTTTATTTTTTGTGATATCCATCCTGGTAGGTATGCAAAGGTATCTCACTGTGGTTATGATTTGCATTTCCCTAATGACTAAAGTTAGACATCTTTTCTTTTTTTATTTGTTCTTTTTATTTATTATTTTTTTTATTTTTTATTGTTGGTTGTTCAAAACATTACATAGTTCTTGATATATCATATTTCACACTTTGTTCTTTTTTAGATATACATGACAGTAGAGTGTATCTTGACATTTTATACATATATGGAATATAACTTATTCTAATTAGGATCTCATTTTTATGGTTATTCCTGATGTGGAGTTGTGCTGGTGATATATTCACATATGAACATAGAAAAGTTATGTCTGATTCCTTTAACTGTCTTTCCTATTCCCATTTCCCCTCCCTTCCTTTCATTCCCCTTTGTCTAATTCAATGAACTTTTCTTCCGTTCCCACTCCTTGTTGTGTGTTAGTATCCACATATCAGAGAACATTTAGCCTTTGGTTTTTTGGGATTGGCTTATTTCACTTAGCTTTATAGTCTCTAGATCCATCCATTTACTGGCAAAAGTCATAAAGCCATTGATTTTTATGGCTGAGTAATATTCCATTGTGTATATATACCACATTTTTTCTTTATCCATTCATCTACTGAAGGGCATCTAGGTTGGTTCCACAGCTTCGCTATTGTGAATTGTGCTGCTATAAACATTGGTGTGGCTGTGGCTGTGTCACTGTAGTATGCTGATTTTAAGTCCTTTGAGTATATACTGTGGAGTGGGATAGCTGGGTCAAATGGTAGTTCCATTTCAAGTTTTCTGAGGAATTTCCATAGTGCTTTCCAGAGTGGTTGCACTATTTTGCAGTCTCACCAGCAATGTATGGGTGTGCCTTTTCCCCACATCCTCCCCAACATTTATTGTTGCTTGTATTCTTTATAATTGCCATGCTGACTGGAGTGAGATGGAATCTCAGTATAGTTTTAATTTGCATTTCTTCTATTACTAGAAATGTTGAACATTTTCCCATATGTTTGTTGACCATTCATATTTATTCTTCTGAAAAGTTCAGTTCCTTAGCCCATTTATTGATTGTTATTTGTTTTTTGGTGTTGAGTTTTTGAGTTCTTTTGTATATCCTGGAGGTTAGTGCTCTATCTGAGGTATAGGTGGCAAAGATTATTCTCCCATTCTGTAGGCTCTTTCTTCACATTGTTGATCATTTCCTTTGCTGTGAAGAAGCTTTTTAGTTTGATACGGTCCCATTTATTGATTCTTGATTTTTACTTCTTGAGCTTTAGGAGTGTTATTAAGGAAGTCAGTTCCTAAGCCAACATAAGTAGATTTGGGCCTACTTTCTTTTCTAGCAGGTGCAGGGTCTCTGGTTTAATGTAGTTGATCCACATTGAGTTGAGTTTTGTGCAGGGTGAGAGATAGATGTCTAATTTCATTTTGCTACATCTGAATTTTCAGTTTTCCCAGCACCACTTGTTGAAGAGAGGCTATCTTTTTACCAATGTATGTTTATGGCACCTTTGTCTAGTATGAGACTACTGTATTTATGTGGATTTGTCTCTGTGTCTTCTATTCTGTACTATTGGTTTTCATGTCTTTTTTAGTGCCAGTACCATACTGTTTTGTTACTATAGCTCTGTGGTATAATTTTAGGTCTGGTATTGTGATGCCTCGTGCTTCAGTCTTCTCACTGAGGATTGCTTTGGCTCTTCTGGACCTCTTATTTTTCCAAATGAATTTCAAAACTGCTTTTTCTATTTCTATGAAGAATGTCATTGGAATTTTAATAGGAATTGCTTTAAATCTGTGTAGCACTTTTGGTAATATGGCCATTTTGACAACAGTTATTCTTCTTACCTAAGAACGTGGGAGATAGTTTCATATTCTAAGGTTTTCTTCAATTTCTTTCTTTAGAGTTCTATTGTTTTTGATACAGAGGTTTTTCATCTTTTTTGTTATAAGATTCCCAAATATTTTATGTTTTTGATGGTACTGTCAATGGGATACTTTCCTAATTTCTCTTTCAGCTGATTTATCACTGATATTTAGGAATGCAATTGATTCATGGGTATGAATTTTTTATCTTACTACTTTGCTGAATTCATTTATGACTTCTGGAAGTTTTGAGTGGAGGTTTTTGGGTCTTCTAAACATAGAATCATGTCATCAGCAAATAGGGATAGTTTGAGTTCTTCTTTTCCTCTTCATACCCCTTTAATTTCTTTCTTCTGTATAATTGCTTTGGCTAGAGTTTCAATGACTGTGTTGAATAGAAGTGATGAAAGAGGGCATCCCTATCTTGTTCTAGTTTTTAAAGGGAGTGCTTTCTTTTTCTTTATTTAGAATGTTGTTGGCCTGGGTTTAGCATATATGGCTTTTACAATGTTGAGATATGTTTCTGATATCCCTAGTTTTTCTAGTGTTTTGAACATGAAGCAGGGCTGTATTTTAACAAGAGCTTTTTCTGCATCTATTGTGATGATCATATGATTCTTATCTTTAAGTCTATTGATATGATGAATTACATTTATTGATTTCCTTATTGTGAACCAAACTTGCATTCCTGGGATGAACCCCACTTGATCATAGTGCACTATCTTTTTAATATTTTATTAAGAATTTTTGCATCTATGTTTATCAGCGATATTGGTCTGCAGTTTTCTTTCCTTGATGTGTCTTTGTTTGGTTTTGGTATCAAGGTGTGATACTAGCTCATAGAATGAGTTGGAAGGGTTCCTTTCTTTTCTATTTCATAGAATAATTTGAGGAGAATTGGTATTAGTTCTTCTTTAAAGGTCTGGTAGAAATGTGATGATCATTACTATCCAAAGTACATGTATGAAGACACGAATTGGTGTGAATATACTGTGTATACAACCAGAGATATGAAAAATTGTACTCTATATATGTAATAAGAATTGTAATGCATTCTGCTGTCATGTATACATTTTTAAAAATTTACATTAAAAAAAAAGTTCTGGTAGAACCCAGCTGAGAATCCTTCTGATCCCAAGCTTTTCTTTGTTGGTAGGTTATTTTTGTTGTTATTGTTGTTATTTAGTTGTAGATGGGTGATACCTTTATTTTGTTTATTTATTTATTTTTATGTAGTACTGGGGAACAAATCCAATGTCTCACACATGTCAGGCAAACACTCTATGGCTGAGCCACAACCCAGCCCCCATTGGTAGGTTTTTGATGGTGTTTTCAGTTTCATTGTTAAGCATCTTCTCATGAGCTTGTTGGCTATTTTCATGTGTTCCTTGAAGGCCTGTCTATTTATCTTTTGCTCATTTTTGAATTTTTTTGTCCTTCCATTGTTGAGTTGTAAGAGTTCTTTATATTCTTTGTATATTAAAACCCATCCTAGACATATAATTTGAAAATATATTTTTTCATTCTGTGAGTTCTCTTTTCACTTTTTTATAATGTCCTTGATGCACAAAAGTTTATAATTTTGCTGGTGTCTTGTCAAAGAATTGCCAAACCCCAAATCTGAATATTTATCCTGTTTTAGTAGTAGTCTTGTAGTTCTAGCCTTTATATTAGGTAATTTATCTCTTTTGAGTTTGTTTTTGTGTATATGGCAAGGTAACAGCCCAAGTTCATTATTTTGCATGTGAATATTCAGTCCACCCAGCCCTATTTATTAAAACAGATAATTCTTTTCTCATAGAAATCTTTGAATAGTATTTGCGCCTTTGCCCAAAATTCACGTGGCCATAGACGTATAGATTTATTTTGGGATTCATAATTCTATCCAATTTTTCTGTGCTTCTATTATTTATACCAGTATTACATTGGTAGGATTTCAATTGGGATTGCTTTGAATCCGTAGATAGCTTTGGATAGCATTGCCATCTTAACCATAGTAAATCTTCCAGCTCATGAACATGGATTGATGGATTCCCTTTCTATTTATGTAGTTCTTTGATTTCTTTCAACAAATAGTTTTCAGACTGGGTTCTAAAATGAGTCTCATATGAGCAGTTTAATCATGTTTTTAAGTCCATTTTGACAGTCTCTACTTTTTATTTGGAGAGTTTAATTAATTTACATTTAAATTACCAATAAAGAAAGGGATTTTTCTGCCTTCTTTAAATTTTTATTTTTAATTTTAGTTTTTATTTTGGAAGTAATAGTGATTAAACCCAGGGGTGCTCTACCACTGAGCTATATCCTTGGCCCCTCTTATCCTGAGGGGCCAAGGTCTCACTAAGTTGCCAAGACTGACCTCCAATTCTCCATCCTTCTGCTTTGGCCTCCCAAGTCACTGGCATTACAAGCATGTACCACTGAGCCTCACTTTTTATTTTTTTTCTATGTTATATACTATTTTTTGTTCCTCATTTCCTCTGTTATTGCCTTTCTCTGTGTTTAATTGATTTTTGTAGTATACTGTTTTATCTTCTATTACATGTGTAGGTAATTTCTTAGTGTTTACCATGGGAGTTATATATGAACATGCTCTTCATAACAATATAATTTGAGTTGATAGCAAACAAGTTTCAATAGTATCAAAATACTCTGTTTCTCTATAACTCTTCCCCTCTTTATATTGTTGTCAAAATTGCTTCTTTATATGCTGTGTATGCATTAATATGGACTTGTAATTATCTTTTGTACATTTGTCTTTTAAATCATGTAGGAAATTTTAAAAGGAGTTACCAACCAAAAATTCAATGATGCTGTTCTTCCTATGTTGTTACCTTTACAGAAAAATACTGAGTTCTTTATATGGAACTGAATTACTCTTTTGAACATCCTTTCACTTCTGCCTGAAGGACTCCCCTTAGCATTTTTTAATAGGATAGGTCTAATGATAATGATGCTCTCAGATTTTTTTTCTGGGAATGTATTAAATTTTTATTTTCATTTATAAGGATAGTTTTGCTGGATATATAATTTCTATTGTTTTGGCACCCGTGTCATTATTTTTTATTTTTGGCACTTTAAATATTATATTATCTCACTGCTTTCTGTCCTCCATGACTTCTAAAGAGAAAGCAAGTGATATTCCTACTGAGAAGGCATTTCTCTCTTGCCATTTTCAGGTTTCTTTCTATGTCTTTATCTTTTAACAGTCTAAGTGTAAAGTGTTGTCTTGTGGATATTTTTGAAGTTTGTCTATTTGGAGTTTAATGAACTTCTTGAATGCATGGATCATGTTTTCCATAAAATTTGGAAAGTTTTCAGCCATTATTCCTTTACATATTCTTTCTGTCCCTTTCACATTCCTCCTTCAGGGACTGCCACAGTGCCTGTGTTGATCTTTTTGTTCCTTGGACTACAGAATTTCAAGTTCTGTAGTCTACAGCTTCAAGTTCACTGTTTTGTTTTTTTTTTCTCCCATCTCAAATCTGTTGTAGATCAGGATTCTAGAGTTAATCCTTTTAGTCTTTTTGTGCTCTGATTGTTTCTGTGGATGACTGATTCTTTGAATGTCCTGTTCTGCCATTTTCTATGTTGTTACCCAAGGACCTTATAGAGTATCTATTTGCCTTATCTATCTATGTCCTCCTGCTTAGGAAAAATACTGTTAATGCATGTGAAATATTTACAGATAAATTCTTTAACCAGAATTGTCTTTTCTGTAACAGGACTTCTAAACCATCATTGGCTTAAACAAACAGAGTTTCATCAGAAATCCAGTCAATTATATGCTATGATTGCAGAATATGGTTCAAGACTTTATAATTACCAGGTGATGCTTTTTTAAGTTATTGTTGTATGTCACTCATTTAAAACTTAATATGCTACAGGACGGGTCTAGCTTGCAGTATGTGATTTGGTTTTGTGTGAGACTATCTTATAGAAATAATATATGAAGAAGAGTTCTTTTAAGTGGCCCTTTCCAAAGAGGCCCTAAAAATTCTCCACAGCTTCTGATCCTTACAAGTACCCCACTAGAAGCTCCAGCATAAAGAAAAATGGCAGATCAATCTTTATTGTTAAATTTTCTGATACTCTGAGCAGTATAGTATTTTCTTTCACCCTGAAGCTAGTTTGATCTCAGTGGGTTTAGATGGAGGCCAGTCCTTGACTATCTATCCTCTTCTGGTCCACCCTAGCCCAAGCACACCTCCCTAACATTTCACACTGAGCTTTATCCATTCTGTACTTAGACCTCAGAAAACGAGAGGGAAAAAGTTGATGGATCCTTGGCCTGGTCTCCACTGCACCATGGGAAGAGGCAGACGAATTGACTTGCGTCCACACATGTGCTGACCTTTTAACACAGAGGTGGCTCCATCCTGATCCTGGACCTGAGTGCTTAGATATACTTCCTGCCCTTTTCCCTAAGGCAGGTCTTCTGACATCCTCTACTTCCCAGTTCATCCAGAAATGGTTATATTCCAATGTGTTTTGCCATGTGGAAACCCTAAGGAAAGGCAATTGCACAGGTATGGTTCCTGCAGGATTCAAGGCCAGTGAAACATTTCCCTGGAAGTTCATAGGATGACACCTGGAATCACTCCAAATCATAAAAATGTTTCTCTTTGTATATTCTAAGAATCTCTGAGCCCAAGTCCTGGACAAAAGTACAGTCTTGTGGAAACTCCACATGGAGTCAGCCTCTGACAGATGGGCATCCTCACAGCAAAGACCAGAACCCAAGCCATTGGGAGATGGGCCAGATAGTTAGCTCATTCCCAATAAAACAGAGATGAACATTCAGGGTGGACAGTAGAGGATCCAGTTATTGTCTGTTTATGACTTACCCTCATTGTGAAGGTTAATTTTATGTCTTCTTGGCTAAGCCACATTGCCTCAATATTTGCTCAAGCCCAGTGTAAATGTTACTATGAAGGAGTTTTTCAGATCTGATTAGCATGTAATCAATAGGCTTTAAATAAAGGAGATTACCCTCTCTAATATGGGTGGGCTTTATCCAGCCAGTTGAGTAGCTCAAAAGAAAAAAAGAAAAAATGAGATCTCCTAGGGAAGAGGGAATTCTGCCCCCATATGATCTTTTTAAAATTTTATTTATTTTATTCATTTTAGTTGTTGATGGACCTTTATTATTTATTTATATGTGGTTCTGAGAATCGAACCCAGTGCCTCACACATTTGAGGCAAGCACTCTACTACTGAACCTCAACCCCAGCTTCTCTCCATATGATCTTTAAACTTGAACTACAGCATCAACTCTTCCCTGGATCTCCATCCTGCCAATTTTCCCTAACAATTTCAGACTTGCAAACCCCACAATTGCATGACCAGTTCCTTAAAAGAAAATCACACACATACACCCCAGATTAGTTCTGTTTTTCACATTCATAAATATGTCTGGCAGGTTAAATATGTCTGGCAGGTGCTACTAGGGCCTGAGTATTGGGTAACCCCTCTGATCAGCATCCTCAACAGTGTTCTCCCTTTAAAAAGTGCCTAAGGCTCTAAGGGCAGTATTTTTATGATACTGAAGTTGAGGATTAGTTACAATCGTTTCACTTTTGCCCAGTGTTATGCTGGTTTTCACACACACAAAAGCCATCAGAAATCACTGGGGACTGATTGTGACTTAGTTCTATGTGAGCACTTTATAGATCCCAAGCTACATGCAGTAGATGCTGTTCCATAGCTTGCTTTGGTCAGCTTAATAACAATAGATTACACATGTCCCCTGTCTTTAGACATTATTTTATAATATCATTTTATGGCTTATAAATAATATTTTCAGTTTATACTTATATCTGCACAATTGAACTGTTTCTAATTTTTCAGTATTATAAACATGAACATCTTGTGGCTAAGTGTCTTCAATCATCTTTGATTATTTACTTAGGATATGCTTCTTTTTTTGTTCAAATTACTTATACATGATAGCAGAATGCATTTCGATTCATTGTATACAAATGAAAAACAACTTTTAATTTCTCTGGTTGTACATGATGTAGAGTTGCACCATATGTGCAGTCATACATGTACCTAGAGTAATGATGTTCATCTCATTCCACCATTTTTCCTGTCCCCTGCCCCCTCCCCATCCCTCCCTCCCCTTTGCCCAATCAAAGTTCCTCCATTCTCCCCCCACCATTATGGATCAGCATCCACTTATCTGAGAGAACATTCAGCCTTTGGTTTTTTTGTTTGTTTGTTTCTTTCTTTTTTGGAATGACTTACTTTGCTTAGCATGATATTCTCCACCTCCATCCATGAACCTGCAAATACCATAATTTTATTCTCTTTTAATCCTGAGTGATATTTCATTGGGTATATATACCACAGTTTCTTTTTCCATTCATCTATTGAAGGACATCTGGGTCGGTTCCACAGTTTAGGTATTGTAAATTGAGCTGCTATGAACATTGTTGTGGCTGTGTCACTATAATATACACTTCTAAAAAAAGGATAAACATGGAGTATTTGCAATCCTGAGGTAATCTTTTTATGTTAATGACTTAATACACCTTTTCAAAAAAGCTAGATATGCTTCCTACTCTCCCACCATGAAGAACAGGATAACAGTCATGCATCCGAACCAGTCCTAAGCGCATCAAATACATGTTTCACTTTAGCCTCAAAACGACCCTTTAAGAAAAGTCTTACTAGATCCCTGAATAAATTAGGAAGCTTGTATCAGAGCAAGGAAATGCAGCAGCCTGAGGTTGTACAGCTACAAATCCTGAAGCTGAAATCTAAACACAAGACTTGGCTGCGACTCAACCTGCCAACTGCTCCCTGCTTACATGAAGGATGAAATCTTATTGTCACACACAGTGTAGCCTCAGAAACCATAGACTTACTGTCTCCAGGGTGAATTTAAGACCATGATTTCAAATTATTTGCTCCATCATTTAACTGGTTTATATCTAAAGCCCCACATTAAGCAGCAAGCTTAATTATTTACCCAGGGACACAGACTGCAATCATTATGTCTTCTAGTATTCACCTGGAAATTATACAGTTTAAAATTAAACATCTTAATGAATTTTGTAGTGAGAATAAAATTAACAGTCATATGGCCAAATTTCATACACCTTACTGAATTTATCTAAGCTAAATTATCAGAGCTATGTTTTAAGGCATAAAATGTTGGGTTAGCAGTCAACATTATCTTAATAAAGCAAAACAGTACTGGGGCTATAGTTTAGTAGCAGAGCGGTTGCCTAGCATTACCCAATACTAGGGAAGATTTTTAAAAAGGCTAAGCAAATAAAGCTGAGGCTCTCTCTGCCTGTGGCCTTCTCTTGGCTGCCTCCACTTGCTGCCTTTATACCCCAGGAGGCTGTAAATCCTCTATCTGTTCAATTGGCTGCACATGCAGACAGATTCTCTCTTAATTCATGATTAGAATTAACTACAGGAGTTCTGCCAGGAGTCCATCTTTATTGCAGAAACAGTTTTCCTGCAGGGTGTGCATCTTGGATGCTGTGGCTGTCTTACATTCTTGGGGATTTGCCTTTGTGGTGAGGCTGCCTATCCACAGGGAGGGACAGAAAGGACAGGTTCTTAGAAAGCTGAACATCAGTCCTATTTCCAGAAGTGTTGCAGAGGGATTACAAACTGTACACAAAGCAGCCTCTGCAGTATTTTTCTTTTTTAAAAAAATTTTGCGGTACTAGGAATAGTACCCAAAGCCTTGGGCATGTTAGGCAAGTGCTCTGTCATGGAGCTACACCTTCAGTCCTGAATATGTTTCTGTTTTATACACTGTGGATTTTGATCATTCCTATTCCCACTCGAGTTAGCTGCCATGATTCTCAGAAACAAATTTATGACCCATAGCTAATGACTTCTAAGAATTTAAGACCCATGTATGTTCAAACATGCTTCTAGCATCATTTTACTTTTCCAACCTTTATTTTCTCTTTGCTTTTATGTCCTTGTTTATTTTTTGTCCTGCATGTTTTTATTCTACACACACACACACCTTCCTATAATGGATAAAACCTGAAAAGCTTTTGGGAATGGAGCAAAATACAAACGTTTTAAAAACTGTAGAAAGTTTTATTGTTTAAGGAGCTCTCAAATTCATTTATCAGCAAATTAATTAAGGAGTCTTTTCTATAATTCTTTTAAGGCCAGAACAGAAGAAAGAAACATTGAAAACACAGCCCCTACTGATAGGGAACTTACTCAAACAAACTGAAAAGCTAGAAATGAGAATTTCTACCTAGCTATAATAAGCTCCTAAATCCACATCCCTGTCAAAAGAAAAATGTTGAGGAGAGCCTATAAAAGATTGTATTGTTCAGCAGGGGAGAAAATGCCAGGTAGTTTTTTTCCTGGGTGCCACCCTGCATTCCATCCTGATGCCGTTATCACACATTGCACAACAGCATTTGTAAAATGTCCCTCTGTGTTGCACGGAGCAAACTGAGAAAAACTGATGGGAACTGAGATTCTTTGTAACAAAAAAGCAAATTAATCAGAGAAGAAAGATGGAGCAATATTTCCCAGATAACATTGTGTGTGTTAGGGGAGAAGGGGGCTGGTGATTAAACCCAGGGTTTTGTGCATGGTAGGCAAGTGCTTTACACTAAGCCAAAACTCCCAGGCCCAGATAACATTGATGTTTTCTGTAGGGAGTTGAAAGGTGACCCCCTCAAAAGATAAGTCTACATCCTAACCCTCAGAGTCTGAGTGACTTTAATTTGGAAAAAGGGATCTTTGCAGTTGTAATTAATATTCAATCAACCTGGATAATGGGCCTTGAATCCAACAAGTGTCCTTATAAAAGACACATGGAGGAGAGAAACATGGAGAATAGAGGCTGAGACTGGAGTGATGTAGCCACAATCAAGAATGACAAGAGCCCTCAGAAGCTGGAGGAAATAAGAAACAACTCTCCCTGAGGGCCTTTCAAAGATACCCTGTTGGCACCTTAATGTCTAACTCCTGGCCTTCAGAAACAACTGTGAGAGAATACATTTCTGGTGTTTCAAGCCTCCCATTTGCAACCATTTGTTTTAGCAGCCCCAGAGACCTCATACAGTCTCTTTGAATTTTCTTTGGAACTCCTGAAAGGTGGGCTTTTTTACCAAAAGGAAATGACCAATAAGTACATGGATGCCTCTTTCAGACTGACAGGATAAATTTTCACTTAGGATAGAAGTTCAGGAAAAAACTGATGGAATCCTACACAATGGAAGCTATAATTTATCCAATGGAGTTATTGCTTGAGTCAGTGGAGTTTTTATTCCTCCACTCTGGTTTGTGCTATTTTCCTTGAACATAGTGAAATGTACCATACTCCTGAACCAACAATAAACCATGTTCAGTAAATATATATGTCAGCGAAAGTGAGTTCTGAACCAGAAAGAAAGAATGTCAGAGGCCATGAGTGTTGCTGACCATTTGTATCAGGATCCTCTTTTTACATGTCTCCTCTGTCTGCTACTAACTACTCTTGTTGGCTCCCACACAGACCCTCTTCTGAGCATTCTGTGTTAGAGTAGGTGCTAGGCATGCATGTATGTGTGTGTGTGTGTGAGTGTATATGTATGCTTTTTAATGGGTGTATATGTGTGCTAAGAGCACATGTGTGTATGTGTAAAAATGTGTATATGAATGTGCATAAATGTGTTTGAGTATGCCTGTGTGAGTACGTAGATGTGCGTGTGCTAATCCCACGCTTGAGTACAGGTGGATGGGGAGGATGTAGGGAGCTTCAGGTTGCTCCCAGTTCTGTAATCTTACAGTGTCTAAAATGGGAGCATCCAGTCACCATCACACATGGGAGAGCCTGGAAAAGACAGAACAGGATGAGCTCATGGGAACAGAGGCACAGGCTGCCCTGCTGAGGTCTTTTCAGAGGGGGGAATTGGCAATTGGGCTACATCCTGGACAGAGGCACAGGGTGTGCAGCAGCCCTTTGTGCACTTCCAGAGTGCAGACCCCACAATCCGACACCATCTCTCCATTGTTTGTCTCCTTACAGATGCTTCATAATGCCTCCCTCCCACGCACATCAAGTGTGTCTAACCACCAAATTCATTTCCCCTGATCTCATCTTGGCTAGGGCACCACCTGCCCAATCCTTACCCAGATGCCTTGTCAAGATTAGACATGACTGCTGTTCTGATTTTTATTGCTGACCTAACCCAAAGTTAATCACATCACTTTTTTATTTAGAAATGGAGGATTCCAGGGCTCCTTGTTTACAGGGATAAGCCAAAGAGCTCAGCATGATCCTCTAGGCTCAAAATCATCCTAGACTCTTATCCTTCCTCTCACTCCTTCCCCCTTTCCTCTCTTCCTCTCCCACTCTTAGACCGTGTTTAGCACTTTCATCATTTTAAGAAACAGGAAAGGATAACCCCATCTTAGAGTTTCAGTTGGATGCCCCTCTTTATTAAGTAGATCTCTGTGTTACTCTTCTTCTCCTAGTATAATAACCATGCACAGGTGAGACAGAAGGATGTGGACACTTTGGAGGATACTCCTATGTCTCTCATCATCTCATGTTCTGAGCCTCAAGGGTTCAAGTGTGATTTCAAAAGAAAACTCAGTCAAATAGGCAGGATTCCTAATGACTTACCATTTATCTATCTACCTATCTACTTATTTATTTATTTCAGATCAGACTTCGTATGCCTAAAGAGCAACTGGAACTCTTAAAGTAAGTAAGATATTTGTCACTCTGGTGTGGTTCCAAATGCTGAAATGTTTTTGTACAATGATAAAACTAAAGTCATTTCCCCATATTTTCAAGCCATATTTCTTCATGCCAGTCAAGAACATATTTTCCTGACCATTTCCTCTTTTCCCCCATAAAAAAAGCAGTTTGCTTTAAAATAACATATATGCATGAGTGAGGGAGAGCAATTTTCTTGGGCTATTTCCTTCTATAAATTCAAATAAAATTAAACATACTAATTGTAAATTAGAAATGATACACACAGACCAATTCACTTCTAACCCTCTAGTTTTCATTTTTTGTTTCTCTTCTTCTTTCCTTTCCATCTGTAATGTGTGCACAGAGAAATGCTAGGCATAGTGTCACGAAATATGAATGATGATAAATTCTAGGAGTGAAGTTTTGGGAAATATTATTTCTTATATTTCTCTGTTGTGTTTTTTTTCTTTATAATAAGTATGTTTCTGTAAACCAAAAAAAAAAAAAATAGCATTTTTATTGCTTTAGGAAATTACTTGCCCTTTGATATGTTTCTACTTCCATGGATCATTCCTTAAGAAAATATATATTTGATGTGCTTCCAATATTATTTATGATTATAAAAAATGGAAGACAACCTAGATGAGAAAAATAGGCCATTATTTAAATACATTAGAGTCTACTCATGTAATGGGGAATTATGAAGCCATTAAAATAATTCTAAAATATATTTAATGATTTTAGAATGTTTTGGAACACACAATTACAAATACGATCTCTATTTTGTTACTGATTTTTTTTTTTGCATGGAATAAAAACTATTAAAAGCCCACCAAAATTTAAAATTTGTTTGCTTCTTTGAAATATTTGTATTTTCCCAATTTTAAACATGTATTTAACAATTTTGAGAAAAATACTAGAGATATAGTGCTTATATTTTTATCAATATCAAGAAATACCTGTTCACTTGACATTTTCTTATACTCTTTATGAGTAATTTTCAAGCTGTAAAAGTAGTACAAAACGTTCTTGGAAACAACATCTTGCACATTCGGACTGTAAAACCAGTGAAAGCACTTCCAAGAACTTCCACAGAACTCTAAGCCACAGTTTGAAAATCGGTGCTTTGTACTGCTCTTGAAATGCGAGGTGTCTCAATTTGAAAGAGTATGACATTTGTGATTTAGGATTCACATGTGTAAAGTCACCCAACTGAAGGACAATCAAAGTTGAGCCTTGCTTGCCACAAGTGGAGCACAGTCAAGCATCAGGACACCCTCAAGACATGTCTTTTGAATGCCTTTGATTATTTTACGTAGTGAAATATAATGCTTTTGACAAACGTGCCTTCCCTTCTCTGTCCTTCCTCATATGATTATGTTTCCCATTGCTGGCATGGAAGCCCAGCATCCTCAGATGACAGGGACTTTAAGTCTCACTTCTTTACCTTATAATTCTCCATGTACAGGAAGGAAAGCCAGACTTTGGAAAACAATTTTCGTGAAATTCTATTTTTAATTGAACAAATAGATGTTCTGAAAGCATTACTTAGAGATATGAAGGCTGGCACATACAATTACAGCTGGAACGTCCAAGGAGACACTGCCCAGGACCAGGACAGCTCAGAGATGCTCGATGAGGCAAGGCGGGCTGGAGGCATGGGAGGCTGGGGTGATATTAAACCGGATTTCCCATTGCTAATCCCACTGCTCCTCTGCCCTGAGACCCTACTTCCGACCTTCTGTTTAGCTTGTGTCCTTTTTGACATTCTCCCCTGATACTTTCTTTCACTAGAGCTTGCCCTGGGAAACTCACTTTTTCACCAGTGCTGTGTCACAAGAAGATGCTGGATTGCAGTATGACTTACTTGCCACAAAAATCAATTGATTCAGTTTCATTTTCCAAAGTGTTGTTTAGAATTAAAATATCGGTACAAAATATATTTCCACAAAAACAAAGTATTTAGAATTAAATATTTGTACACAAATATTTAGATAGTAAGAAATTTTTATTTCCCATCCTGATAATCTAGTAATTTAGGTCAGATTTTGACAAAAGCTTGGCTTTGCTTCTCTTCTGCTGACACCAGCACAACCATCTTTCTCTTCCTCACTATGTTTTGAAGTGCGTTGAGATCTGGCACTGACCTTCTGCTGTGTCCTGCGCCCATTTTATCCTTGTCACTGTGACAAAGTATTACAGTGAGAACTAGAACTGCTATACCTGCTCAGGATATTTGTTTATTTTAAAAGCAGAACACCCTTCAGAATTCAGTAAATTAATTCAAGTGGATGGAAATTTTCTAATGTAAGCAATCATCCATTCTTTGTAAACTGCCTGAGTACCAAATAAGTACAGAATGTTCAAGTCTTTATTGTTACCAAATAAGGACAGAATGTTCAAGTCTTTATTGTTACCAAATAAGGACAGAATGTTCAAGTCTTTATTGTTAAACATTAGGACACCAATGAAAATCACATAGCACAACCCTATCTCACACTCCACAGGGGAATGCTATGGTGTGCTGGACAGGGATTCAGATGGGGCCCTGGTCAACCTTGCTGTGTGGCCATGGGGAGTCCCTGAAAATATTGTAGCTTTAGTTACTTCATGTGTCTGAGAAGGGCCATTTCCACAGAATTATGAAAGTGTCATTCCAAATGCATATACCATGCCTAGATCAGAAGCAGTTTGAGAGCTGTTCAAAGTGTTATTATTTTACAGAATTGGGAACTTAGGTTCGGATCAATAGTAAATAGCCAAAACTGAAGCAGTTGATAGATATTGTTAAAAAGATTTTTTTTTTACAACTTTTACAGGAAATGTCAAACTTGGTACATTATGTACTCAAAAAGTTGAGAGGGGACATGGTACAAATGGCTGATTATGCCCTGAAGTCAGCTGGTGAGTACAGAAAATGTGGAAAGCTAATTGTAAAAAAATAAGGAATCCTTTAAGTAGGATCTCTCTCTCTATTCTTTAAATGTCTTTATTAGAAAAACGTATTTAACCACATGTAACTTACAAGAGGGCAAGCCTAATCAAACCAGGTAATAAAAAAGAGATTAGAAATGATTGTCTTTTATGTTTTCTGAATGCAAATCTTAGAGGTCATGAAAACTGTGCATCTTCATTAGCATGCAACTAAAAGGACCACAAAGAAAGTCAAGATGCGGGCTGGAATTATGGCTCAGCAGTAGAGCGCTCACCTAGCACATGCAAGGCCCTGGGTTCGATCCTCAGCACCACATAAAAATAAATATGCAAAATAAAGGTATTGTGTACAACTAAAAAATAAATATTTAGAGGAAAAAAGTTGAGATGCCACAAAGAAATTAGGGAAGGCAGAAAATATTTTAAGCATAGCAAACAGAAAAATATTTTATATTATTATATACTAAAATGATTTATACATGTAATAAATCTAAATGGATTATTAGTGACTAAGTACCAGTGTTTAAATGTCATTTACAAAATAATATTCTTAATATCTTCCAGTTGAAATTAATTCTTAAGAGCTAAAGCTATGAGTCATTAACCTTAGTAATCTCTACAATGTCCTGCCTATTAACAATCTATGAGCAGTATGTGTTCAATGAGCAATGGATAAGGAAAGAGAGGAGGGGAAGAAAAAGTACAAGGTCACTTAAGAAGAAGTAGATAATGATAATGTACATTTATTAAAGGAATAGTTAAAAACCCTTCTTTAAAAAAAAAAACAACTCTGGGAGTAGGAATGTAATGCAGTAGTAGAGTGCTTACACAGCATATGCAAAGTCTTGGGTTGATGTCCAACACTGCAAATAAATCAATAAAATAAGAAAGAAAACACTTAAGCCTAAAAGTTTCACTTTTGCCCCTTTTATCATCATGTAATATCCTTCAATAAATATTATCAAATTGAGTCCAATAATATATAAGAATGATAATACAGCATGACTAAGCAGGGTTTCTCTTAGAACTACAAGTCCAGTTTATCCTTTGAAAAATAAATCCATTTACTTGCTACACCAACAGATTAAAAATATAGTCATCAGATCATCAAATTAGATCCACCGAAGTCCCTTAACAAAGCTCACTGCATCAACAACTTATCTATTCAACAAACTAAAAAGAAATTTCCCTCAGCTTGATAAAGGATACCTGAAAAATTCCTTCAGCTAGTATCATACTTATTTTTGAAACAGATAAATGTGAATGTTTTTCCCCTAAGATTTGAAACAAAGTAAGATTATCTACTCTCACCATTTCTTTTTTTTTTAATTTCTTTTTTTTTCATTAGCTACACATGACATTACAATGATCTTGGTATCTACTCTCACCATTTCTAGTCAACATTGTAATAAAAGTTCTAAACAGTAAGGTGAGGCAGGAAGCAAAAAAGGTACAGAGAGGAAGAGATAGGAAAGAAAAGGCAAATTGGAAAGAAAGTAATAAAAACCTCTCTACTCATAGATAACATGATTGTTTACAGAGAAAATTACAAAAGAAAATCTAGAATAAGTGAGGCTTGAACCAGTGTGTATGTGTATGTGTATGTTTATGTGTGTGTGTGAGTGTGTGTGTGTGTGTGAAATATGAAATACTTAAGTATAAGTCTTAACAAAATATGTGGGGGATCTGTGTGCTAAAAACTAAAAACATTTATAAAACAAAAGAAGACCTAAGTAAATGGATAGATATACCATGTTCATGAGTTAGAAGACTCAATGCCATGAAGATCTCAATACTCTTGAAGTTTGTAGAAATTGACAAACTATTTCTAAAATGTATATGCAGTGGCAAAGGAATTGCAATATCCAAGTCAGTTTTGAAAAAACAATGTTGGAACTCATACTACCTGATTTTAAAACTTATTATAAAGTTACAGTAATCAAAAGGTCATGGAGTTAATTTTGAAATAAGCCTATAGGACAGACAAATATAAGGCTGACTTCTAGTACTAATACTGACCCCAATTAAGTGGAAGGAATAAGTAACTGTAAAGTTATAGACATTAAAGTTTAAACCCAGTACTCCCACTTTAAGACTGATGAAACTGACCTGCTGGATGTTTAAAACCAAAACAATCAAAAAAGGTAAAGGGCTAAAAAAAAAAAAGAGTCAATATTTTGGCTCTTGCCCTCTGAGGTCAGCTAGTTCCTAGGAAGCTTGGGACTTCTCTAAGGGCTGAACCCTACCACTTTGGTGAGTCAGCTGATCTCCCAATTAGGGGGATTCTGCAGAGAAGAAGGTCATTGAAGAGGGAAATGTCCCTGATGCTTCCAAGGGAAGTCACATTGGTCAGCAAGACTCCGACCCATCCTGGAAGATGCCACTAAAAAAGCTAAGAGGCAAGTTCCTAAGAGTGACCCTAAGGAATCCCAGCTGACTTTTAGTAATAGATAGGAAGGAACAAGCTCAATTTTTACCAACTTGGTCTTAACTAGCTGGCATAAGAGTTTAACCAAAGCATAGTCCATTCATTACATGGGCATTTAAATGAAAAGACAATGGTACATTTAATGTAACTAGAGATGTACATTTGTGTGAGGCCTCCCCCAAATAAGTAAAACTGTGAAGTTATCTTAAAAAAAAAAAAAAGGCTTTTTTTTTTTTTTTTTTGTACAGGAGTGCCTGATGCACAATGCACAAGTTTGTTTTGAGTCAGCTTGAGACCTGTCTGTGTTCTTTTCTTTTTTTCCTGGTATGATTTCTACCAGCTGTTACTCAGACTCCCCTCTAGAATTTATAGTTCATCACTTCCTGCCTGGGACTTGATTTTAATTAAGACCTGGAGAAAAGACAGTCTTCAACCAAGCTGGAAAGGACCTTACCAAGTGCTCCTGATCATCAAGATGGCTATTTGAACTGGTAAAAAAAAAGAAGAAGAAGAAGAAGAAAAGAAGAAGAAGAAGAAGAGGAAGAGGAGGAGGAGGAGGAGGAGGAGGAGGAGGAGGAGGAGGAGGAGGAGGAGGAAGAAGAAGGAGAAGGAGAAGGAGAAGGAGAAGGAGAAGGAAGGAGAAGAAAGGAGAAGAAAGGAGAAGAAAGGAGAAGAAAGAAGAAGAAAGAAGAAGAAAGAAGAAGAAAGAAGAAGAAGAAGAAGAAGAAGAAGAGGAAGAGAGAACTCATTACCAGAGGTGATTTTCACCTCAAAAAGTTAATATGTCTAGGATGGTTGGCAATACCAGAAGGTGTAATGAAAATGAAACCAAAAGGTGTAAAAAGAAAAAAGGGGGGATTTGTGAGAAGTAAAAAGTCTGGTGGTCCAATTTCAGAATATAGTGTTCAGGCTTAATTGGATCCAACTGTAGCCATTTTAATTACAGTCTTTCCCTTTTGCCCATCCCAATTTTAAAATTAGCCAATCATGTAGATTGTACCCCTGAGTCCTCCAGTCAGGGCAAAGGGTAGTCCACATTAGGTATATAAACCAGCAGATTGCCTGCCCAGGGTGCTTGCTAGCTAAGTTCAGGTAGCACACCCTTCTGGCAGAAGTAAAGGTTTGCCTTGCTTACCCACTTTAACCACATCTTTGATTTCTTATAGCACCTCATTATTTCTAACAATGAATTCAATAGAATAATAGAAAGTCCAGAAATAATTTACCACACGTGTGGTAAATTGACTTTTGACAAAGTAGAAAAGTCAAAGACATTTATTTGCAAAAAAATAAAATAAAATAAAATAAAAATAAACCTTGATTCACATTTACAAAATAGCTCACATTTTATAAAAATTAACCCCAAATGGGTCACTGGTCTAAATGCATAGGTTAAAGATATGAAACTTATAGATAAAAGAGAATATTTTTATTTATTTTTTATTTTTTATTATTAGTTGTTCAAAACATTACAAAGTTCTTGACATATCATATTTCATACATTTGATTCAAGCGGATTATGAACTCCCATTTTTACTCTATATACATACTGCAGATTCACATCGGTTACACATCCAAAGAGAATATTTTTAGTCTTGTATTAGAGAAAAAAAATTCTTAAACATGACACCAAAAACATGATCCATAAAAAGAAAATAATGGATGATTAGGGCCCCCTCAAAATTAACTTCTACTCTGCAAAAGACAAACAAGAGAATTAAAAGACAAGTCACAGGCTTAGAGAGAACATTTGCAAACCACACAGAGCAAACATGACTTCTCAAAAGACAGAATTTCAGTGGTAATAAAAAATGTCATTTTTCCTACCTATTCCTGAGAATGAGTTTTATCTCCATTATAATTTGCCCAGTAATAATTTTCCAAGGTCATCATTAAAATGATATATTTTTAATTATGTATTTAATTTTTTATTTTAAAAATATTTTATAATTTTAGGAGCCTCTATCATTGAAGCTGGGACCTCAGCAAGTTACAAAAATAATAAAGCAAAACTGTACTGGCATGGGATAGGATTCCTAAATTATGAAATGCCTCCAGATATTATTCTTCAGGTAAAAGTGAAATTAAGAAGAACCAAGTTCTATTTGATTTTATGATAATTTATCATGAAAATGTTAACATTTAAAATGGAGGCAGTTTGACATTGTTCAAACTCATTACACACCTGAAATCTTCTTACATTTTAAGTAATTATACTGCATTAATCCCTTCTTGTTTTATAGTCATTAAATTATCATTGATGACCATATGTGATTTAGAGACAACTGAACTAGATTATTTGATTCTCAAATAGAAAATATAAATTCCATATCTTTTAAAAGTTAATTCTGTGGCCTCTTTTCCATTGAAAATTTCAGTTGTTCAGACAACATTTATCAAAAGTGCTTATGTTCTCAATTCTAGTGTTTTGATAAATGCTATTCACATCACATGCTCTTAAGTCCATTTACAACTAAAGCAATAACCAAATAAGATTTCCACTGAAACTTTCAGATACATCCCAAAGGCAGTAGATGTTAACAGACTGTAGGGCATGTCTTAACTACAATCCACATATCTGAAGTTGGTTTCAAATTCAGAAGTACCTCCAGGGACAACTCTGAATCTTATTCCAAGCCTTATTTTGGATCTAGACAGTGATACACACCTCATTTTCCTTTACCATCATCATCCCCTCAACCACCACAATCATTACTGCCACCACTGTCCTTAGCACTACCGTCTCCATCACTACCATGATCACCATCATGTCACTTCCACCCACTCATCATTGACTCCTCATTCACTACCATCACCATGATCTCTACCACATCTCTTCTGTTGCTACCATTATTAACCACCATCGCCATCACCACTATTACCATGATAATTTCCACTATTATCACTGTGGTCATTCCCAAATTTACCACCGTCTCCATTGTCCCAATCATGATTACCATCACCATCACCATCACCACCTCCACCACCATCACCACCATCACCACCTCCACCACCATCACTTCCACTGCTATTATTATTACCACCATCATCACTACCACCACCACTACTGTCTTCATTAGTGTCATCAGCACTACCACCATTCATCCCCTTCAGCTGCCTTTTCGTATTTCAAGGTCCAACTAGAGCAGTGAAAGAAACATGCTCGGATGATAAAGAGCTCTGATTAATAGAAGAATAAAGTACTCTGGAAAAAACAATCAAACTTAGGGGGTATCTTAGAAATTTTTCTTTTGATATATATCTTGAACAAAGGATCTGCAGTCAATAGTGGTTAGTTCCCCTGTATTCCAGGGTAGATTTACATACCCAAAGAAGAGATTAATTTGATGTTTTCTTTCCAGCCAGATGTCCATCCTGGAAAATGCTGGGCCTTTCCAGGTTCCCAGGGTCATATTCTAATCAAGCTTGCCAGGAAAATCACACCAACGGCTGTTACCATGGAGCACATTTCAGAGAAAGTGTCACCCTCAGGAAACATCTCCAGTGCACCCAAGGAATTTTCTGTCTATGTGAGAAACTATCTAAATATGTCATTAAAAGCTGGATTATCATATTAATGATACAACTAACTAGTTGTATTACTTATTTCCTGGGCCTTGGTCTTATTATCCTCAAAGTGACAGGGTTAAACCAGATGATTTCTATTGCTTAATTTTATTTTTTACTTTTATCAGTTATATGTGACAAAAAGTTATACATGTCCATAAAGTTTATATTATCTCACTTCTCCTTGTTCCCAATTCTTTCCCACAGTTTTAGGTGTTTTGGAGGGTCCTTGTCTTCATATTTGCTTGTCCATTATTTCTTCATTTTTCAATTTTGGTTCTTAATTATTCAGTTTTGCTGACATCCTCCAGTAGAAAATGAATTATTAACTCTCTTCTGTGGGTTCCCCATCATCCTCCCAGGATCTTTTTGTTAAATTCACATAACATTTAGTTTACTCATTTGATGTGCACACTTCAGGAGCCTTTGGTATATATACAAAATCACGTACCTATCACCACAATCAACTTTAGAACATTTTCACTACCCCCCAAAAAAGTCTCCACATGACTTAGCTGTCACCTCTAATTCCCTCATCACAAGCCCAGTCCTGACAACCACTAATCTACTTTGTCTCCATAATTTTACCTATTTTGGACATTTTATATAAACAAAATCATATTAAATGTGGTCTTTAGTGAATAATGTTTTAAGGCTCATCCATGCTGTAATGTGTCAATATTTGATTACTTTTTAAATTGCTGAATAATATTTCATTGTATAAATAAACCACATTTTGTTTATTCTTCAATTGGTGAACATTTGAATTATTTAGAGTTTTTTTTTTTTTTTTTTGGCTATTATGAATGACGCTGCTGTCAACATTTGTGTAAGAATTTGTGTGTGGACATTGTTCCTTTTTTCTTTAGAGTATATACCGAAGATTGAAATTGCTAGATTTCATGTGGTAGATTTATATTTAATGTTTGAGGTACTGCTAAGATGTATATCTTACTTTTTGTTTGAATCAATATTCTGTGGTAATCAATTTCATGGTAACTGTGTGAAAATATTGTTCTCAGTTGAGTTGTATAAGACACTTGAATACTATTTTCTTTTTTGCATGATTTTTGATGTGCCTTATTTTTTATTTAATTTGTTTGGTTTGCTATAGTTCTATCAGTAACATTACCAGTCTCTTAAGCAGAAGTATAAATATTCTCCTTTTATTTAATTCATGTCATATAATTTATGTTTCCTCTTCCCTTCCCTTCCCTTCCTCTTTCTTTCCAGGATATTCCTTATGTAGCTCTGCCATTCTGCTGATGGTTGCTAAGTGGGCCTGATGCTTACCTATTCTTATGGGATTTCATTTCTGCCAACTGAGGCTTTAACTTATACCTATTTTTTGTTTTTATTTGTTTCTCTCTTATTTTCCCTGTTTTTTGTTCTACTTCTGAGTGACTTTCCATTTGCATCTTAATCCCTGTGTTGAATATTTAATTTCTGCTATCACATTGTACTTGTTTAAGACATTGGTTGCCATAAATATTCCCTTTCTTAGGCTCTGAGTTTTTCTTTCATGGATGAAATATCTTCTCTTAATGCTTCTGAAGAAATTAATTGATAATAGTTAAATATTTAATTTTTTCCTGCTCCCTCCTATTTTTATTTCCAGGTATCCTTTGTCCTGCTTGTTTATAGGATCTCTGTTGTTTTTGAAAATGTCCTTCCTCAAATGTCTGTGAGGCTTTTTTATCACATTAAGGGTTTGCTAATAGTCAGGCATGGTGGTGCACCCTTGTAATCCCAGCAGCTCAGGAGGATCAAGAATTCAGAGCCAGTTTTAGCAAAAGTGAGGTGCTAAGCAACTCAGTGAGACACTGTCTCTAAATAAAATACAAAATAGGGCTGGGGATGTGTCTCAGTGGTCAAGTGCCTCTGAGTTCAATTCCTGGTACCCCCTCCCAAAAAATTTTTCTGATAAAAATTTGGCCACAAACTCTGTGCTCATGGTGGGGCTTATGAACAGCAAGTTCCACAGGTGGAATGTCTGGTTAGCTATTTCTTCTGGAGCCCCAGAATGTGGAATTGGGCAAGTTGACCCTGAGAGGAGTCCTGCAACAGGAGGTACAGGCTTGGCTGAGAACACACTGGGAGCTGCTGGGGAGGAAGGGGCGGTACAATACCAATTCAGGACATAGGGCAGGATCAGCCCTTTTATTTTAGCTGTATTAGGGCTGTGCCTGTCAGAGCTGGAGATAGACCAGAGATCCTGCAGAGCCAGGTAAGGGCATAAACCTACCATGGACTAGGAGTCTAACCTCTTTTTGAAAAAACTATCCCAGGCCTCAGATTTTGATCTCTCTTTCTCCTGTTCCTCACCCCACAGCCCCAATCCCTGGGCCTTTCTGGGACTAGCACTGTAAGTCCATGTGCTGCTGATTTCATCTCTAACAAGAGAAGTTTATGTTTCCTTCAGATCCAATTTAGCCATTTCCACACTTTTTTTTGTCTGAGTGTGTAATCACCCCTCATCCCACCACCCACCATTGGGTTCATGCTTTTTCAATCCTGTGATGTTACTTGCTAGAGGTGGCCTCAGTGTTAAAAGCTAGATGCCTCCTGTGTCCTCTGAAGGCATCTAGCTTCTGGGGCTCGGAGGCTGCTAGGCAGAAGACCACTGTGTTCTTATGCCAGCCTATACCCCAAACGCAGGTGTACCCTAGAAGTTGAGTTAGGGTGAAGTTGAACAGATCCAGTCCTGTCTCAGACCATGCACATAGCTGCTCATTGTGTAGGGGAATTTGAGTGGATTCTGCAGGCAGGAATCCTTCAGGTAGTCAAGGCTACTTCTTGTTATTTTTATTCTATATTAGAGAATTTATTAACCAAGTGAAATTTAAAAACAGGTCTTATAAATGTGAATATAAAATTAGCACTCCTCTATTAGCAAGCTAAAGGAACTCTATGAGGCTTAAACCATATCTACGTATATGTATGTATATATGTAACTGTGAGTACATTATGTAATCAATGATGTCCCTAATTATTTTAATAAAATGGTGCTGTTTTAATATTAATACTTTCACTATAAAATGATTAAACTTCCATAATTTAAGGAGTCTAGTAATAATCTTCAAGTTCTCAAAATAAATTCATTTGCACCAGTTCATTCTCCTCTCACAGATCTTCAATTTGAGGGGTAGAAAAAGAAGGGAAAAAACACAGGGGAATTGCATACAAAGACCAAAATTTCTGTTCAGTAACAAAAGCTGGATATAGAAGGGTCAAAAAGGATGTTCTTTTCTAAATTTTATTCAAACTACGTTGACTTCAAATTGTCAGTGTGGATGCTGGGATTCATTTTACATCTATCTGTCTTATCTATCATCCATCTTCTCCCTAGCCATCTCATTATCATCTGTCTTTCATCTATCTCCCTTTCTATCTTTCTGTCATGCTCTGTCATGTATCTACCTATCTTATTTATTTATTTTTTTTTAGCACTGGGGCTTGAACCCAAGGTTAGGTAGATGCTAGCAAGCACTCTACCATTGAGCCACACTCCAGCCCACCACATCTCCCTATCAGTCATCTACCTATCATCTGTCACTCTGCCTATCTCAGCAATCTTTGATCTGTCTCCTTATACACACACACACACACACACACACACACACACACACGTAGCTCTCATCTACTTTCATCTATCTCTTTCTATCTATATATCTGCCCACCTAACTTCCTGTCCAGCTCTGTAATCAGCCTCTGGCCTCATTAACCCTCATAACTTTATACATTGGGTGTATAAGCCAATCCTGACTCTAGCACAGCACTCAGCCCTTCACAGAAAAACACAAAATGCCTAGTACATTGTTGCTATTTGAACAACTACATCCATTTGTTTTAACCAAGCTTGTAACTTCCAAATCCATTGGTTTCTTTATAGGGCATCACAAAAAAATGTGAAGGAGAAGAAATTTTCCTAGGTCAATTTATATACAACAAGACAGAAAACACCATTCAAACATTTGAACTCCAGGTAATGTCTGCTCTGGGAAATAAGATATGTTTGGTTTCATCACTGGGAGAGTTCTGCTGGAATTGCTGCATGGTGTGCAATAATAAGTTATGACAAAAGCATGAGCTAGGCAAGGCTTATCAGAATTTCACTTCTTTGATCAGGTTTTACATTGATTTTAATGCAAAAGAAATTACAAAAGCAGTTTCTAAGCAAAACTCTTCCTCATCTGCTGTCTTTCTGTTAGGTTTCTCAGTCCTTTCATTTATTTATTTACTTATTTATTCATTTATTTATTTTGGGGACACTGGGCATCAAACCCAGGGACCCCCATATAGGAGGTAAACACAACCACTGTGCTTCATCCCCAGCCCCTCAATCATTCTTTTAACTCTTGAACCCTTGAAACTGTTACATTTGATATTCACTGTTTTATCTTTCTTGGACAAAGGGACTGGGGATGATGGTGCAGAATGAGGTAGATAGGGGCAGGAGGAACTTAGAGGAAGAGAGGATATTTAATACTAGTGGAAAGGGAGAATGCCAGCTATTAACTTTATAACTCCCCTGAAACTCACTATGGTATATGAAAACTATTTTCATTATTTCTCATTAGCCACAGGAAGTAACTGAAGAGATGTAGAAAGCAACTCATACCATGTAAAAATAAACCTTTTATGAAACTTTGTGGCCAATGGTGAGAAAAATCTAAGCCCAAAAATATATATATAGTCAGCCCATCATATCCATGGGTTCTGTGTCCATGGGTTCAGTGAACTACAGGTCAAAAATATTTGACCTAGGTGCCTTTCAACAAATGAATGGATTAAAAACTGTGATATATATCAGCCTTAAAGAAGAATGAAATCATGGTAAATGGATGGAACTGGAGAATATCATGCTAAGCAAAATAAGCCAACCCCCCAAAACCAAAATCTGAATGTTTTCTCTATTATGTGGATGATAATTGACAATGGGGATGGCTTGAGAAGAATAGAGTTACTTTAGATTAGGTAGAGGGGAGTGAAGGGGAGGGGAGGGCCTATGGGGGGTAGGAAGGATAGTAAAATGAATCAGACATTATTACCCTATGTACATATATAACTATATGACCAGTGTATTCAATGTCATGTACAAGCAGAATGAGAAATTATACTCCATTATATATGATGAATCAAAGGGCATTCTACTGTCATTGTATAACTAAAACAAATTTTAAAAATTAAAAAATAAACAAATCCTACCTTAGTTGTGACTAAAACTTTTTAAAAAATTGAAAAAATAATTGCATTTGAACTGAACATGTAAAGGCTTTTTTTTTCTCACTGTAACCTAAACAATACAGTATAACAACTATTTACATAGTGTTTACATTAAATTAGATGTTATAAGTACTTTAGAGGTTTTAAAGTACATGGGAGGATGTGCATAGGTTATATATTAACCATATATTTTATATAAGGAACTTGAGCCTCCACAGATTTTGGTATTAGCAGGGGGTCCCAGAGCCATTCTCTCTCAGATACCAAGTAACGGTCATAAGCATTAGAAATTAAGGTGTTTATACAGTTTTATATTTGATTGCATTATCACATGCATTGGGCTCATACACTCACATTCACTTTTATAGGTGACTTCATAGATCTGTTTTCATACAACCAACACTCTGTGTTCCTTGTGAAGCCAGTAGGAGCACTCAAGAGAGAGTACAGTAGTGACACTTGACATCAGACCACCTTATTATCTTTCTCCCCCTAATTGTCTTTTATTTCCTTTCAGAAGCTCTTTCTCTTGTCCATTTGACAGTATCGGAAAATACTTATGTTAGGGAGAAAAGAAAATTTTAATTTTCCATTACATAAGCATTCATTGAGATTCAATGGGATTTCTTTACAAGGCATTAATTTTTTTTCTTTTCTTTATTTTCAGCATGAAGTTTCTGAACCTTTATTATGTGTGAATCTTAAAATCCTTAGCAACTGGGGACACCCGAAGTATACTTGTTTGTATCGATTCAGGGTTCATGGTGTCCCCACTGATCACACCTAGAGGATATGGCACAGAAGGCCAAGACCACATGTCCAGAATATTTTAGGATTCTCATTCCCTGAGATTAGACTGCACCCCAGAAGTCAAAAATTGAGAGTGGGAAAGAAACCTCAAAGTAGTTCCTACTTGCCAGTGAAAAGTGAATGAATTTTACTAATAAAAATATTTTAAAAATTCAACATCCATGTACTATATTTCTGTTTAGATTGTATCATGTTGTTAGAGCACTGAAAGGTGATTTTTATACTTAGACTGTTATATATATTTAACAGCCATGCTCATAATAGCACCTTTTGTTATTCATTATCTATACTAGGTATGAATGTTCACTGTTACCACTAATATTAACACTGGTTAAGGTAATAAGAGAAAAGACATTTTTAAATTAGTGAAGAGTTCTGGCCATGACTTATTTGCAGATTATGTGATCAATTCCATGAAATACAATGAAGTCTATTAAAAAAAACATAAACAAGTAAAAACTGCAATAAGTTGGTATATACAATATTATCACATATAAATCAAGATCATTCATAAGTAAAACAAGAAGAAGTATAATTTACAAAAACCACAACAAAGATAATAAACATCGAATTAAAAAGGTAGTAAAATTCCTATGGGAAGAAAACTCCCAAACAGCAGTAAATTACCAAATTTTGGTAAATGAAAGACATGTATTATTCTTGACAAGAAAACTCAATTATCAAGATATTACTACTCCCTAAGTTAATCTATAAATGTATCTTATTAATCTTGATATTAAAAATGGGGAAACTACATTTTGGAGGCAGTTATGAAACATAAAAGAATTGTTTAAAAACAATTTTAGATGTCTATGTAATTGTATTATAATTTTATTTTAAAAAGAATTCTTGGACTAGAGACATGCAAGAGCCTGATTTCTATTCCTAGTGCCACCAAAAGAAAAAAAAGACTTATCTTTGTTTTGATTTATATATTTAAATATTTACAGATGAATTTATATATCTGGGATCTTTTTCAAAGAAAAATAAATGGATAAGAAGATGGATGATAAAGATTGGCCATGAAATTATCCCAAAGCTTTATGTTGCCTCTCCATGGGGGCTCATTAAGCTATTCTGTCTAAATTTTTATGTTTGATTTTTCAGTTTCAAAAGGGGTTGGAAGATAAAACACACATTTGTATTTTTAAAACCCCAAAGGAGTGTTTTAAACTCACTTGATTCTGAACTTCAGATGGAAATAATAAGCCTAGTATAAAGCCAGGAAACCTCTAAAAAATCAAAAAAGGGAAACAGCTCTGTGACATAGGTATGATAATTAAAAACCATGTGGTGCTAGCACATTGATAGATTAATGGAACAAAGTCTAAAAAAAATTACATCTGGGAATTTGGTATATGATAAAAATGGCATCTCAAAAGGGCATGGTGTTTTAGCTCATTTCTCTTGCTAATAATAGCATGGACTGGATAAGTCACAAGTAAAAGAAGTTTATCTTGGCTGGCAGTTCTGATCTTCCTGATTGAGAAGATGCATTTGTTAATAGCCTTCTTGCTGGCAGAGGGCAATACACTGGCTGTCTCATGGTGAAGCACAGAGAGCTATAGAGACCTACCCAAACTGGCTTTTATAGCAAATCTACTCTTGATAGCCCATAAACACTTTAATCCATGGTTCATCACACAGATAGGTTACTCAATCCATGAGGGAGGAGTTCTAATCACCTTTTAAAGGCTCCATTTCTTACAGCTCTTAGTAGGAGTAGGGATTAAATTTCAACATGAGTTTGGGAAGCATATTCAAATCATAGCATATGGTAAAAAGGAAATACAAATGAGTTAGGAAAATTATCTGTTCATTAAGAAAATAAATTTGCATCGATACTTCTTACTTCACAACATGATAAATTCCAAGTTTAACATGGTAAAAGATTCACAAGTGGATGAAATTAACAAATTTTAAGATAATTCCTATATAGTACTGGATAGAAGAAGGCCTTTCTAAGTAAGATTCAAAATTTAGAAGCCACAAAAGAATAAAACTAAAGTCTATTACATAAAAAAATCAAGAACTTCTGCATGACAAAAAGAAAAAAAATAACAATTTAAAGAAAGTGTGTAAGTAGTAATATTACAAAACTAAATCTTTCTAGTAAAGTTTCAAAAAAGCAATAACAACATCATTAACCCTTTAGAAAAATGGCCAAAGAGTATGAACACTATTCAAATTTATTCATTGAAGAAAAATGACAAAAATTAAATTGCAGTACAATTTTATACCAATGAAATCAGAAAACTCCAGAAATCTGGTAATTTATTCTGAGATGCAAGAGAAGTAAGATCTCTAACACATTGTTGGCACAGATGCAAATAAGTACAACTTTATGGAGAGAACTTGGCAATGTCTTTCAAAATTAAATATGCATACACCCTTTGACTCAAAAAATTATCACATATATAACAAACATAAAAAGTTATTCATCAGCAATGCTTCCCAGGAGAAAAGGGAGTAAGAGATGGGGATGGGGTAGGTGGACCCCAAATAGATAGGACCAAAGTATTTCATTGTATATTTATTGTATTTTTAAACTATGTGAATATATTACCCATTTAGACACTAAACAAGTTTTAATAAACATGGTCTGTCTCTCTCTCTCTCTCTCTCTCTCTCTCTCTCTCTCTCTCTTTAACATAGTGGTCAAGGGAGGAAAGTTACATAAAGAGTGAGTGATGTAAAGGAAAAAATAATGGACATAGGAAGGCAGGGGCCTTAGCCAGGAAAGTGGGCAAGATCCTGCAGGAGAAAAGATTTGTGAAAGTGTTCTCAGGCTGTGCTCAGTGTCAACCCAGGTGGTATATGAGGGAAATTCACTGGACATTTTGAAACAACAAAGAGCTATAAAGACGGGAAATGGAGAAAACAGACACTGAGGTGCTACCTGTGCATATTCTGGGAGCTTTAAGATGTGGCTATGATGGCATGATATGAAAACAGAAAAATCCCATATACCTTTCATGAAGCATAATCATAGTAACCCTCACTTTTTATTATAGAAAAGCAGTGCTTCAGCTCAAAATTCCAGTCCTCAGCTCCACCTGAAACCCTCCCTTGAGCACAGGGTCTTCTTCTACAGACTCGGGGCCAAAGTATAGTCACCTAACTATATTTTAGTTCCTGCTGAATGAATTAAAAGCATTAGTGAACACTTCCTTATACCTGCCCTCTCCTTGGACCACTGTCCTTGTAAACAAGGTGGGTTAGCCAGCTGAATGATGAGAGGCCATAGTGAATGAGATGCCGAGGAAACCTCCAGCACCAGTTTTCAGACAGGTAAAGTGAATCTCCCAGCTTAGCTGACCCTCACCTGAATGCAGCCTCCCGAAGAAGCCCAGGGGAAGCAGTGGAGGGACCACTCAGCCCAAAACATAAGTCCTTGTTGAAGTCATGTGCTTTGGGGTAGTGTCTTATACATTAATAGGTAACTAATAAACTCCTCATTTTCCCACTGCTACAGTTTCCTAAATCTTATTCCCAGTCCCTAAAAGAAGATTACAAATTGGCTGAGTTCCATCTCTATTTTTTATTTTTATAGGTAAGGACCAGACCATACATAATAATAGAACTCTGTCACACAATCTGTGGCAAAGAGCTCAGGAAACCAATCCATTTTCTACAGTAACCTGTCCTGGACTTCAGTCTTCTTTCTTACAAATTAGACTTGTGGGAAGTCAGAACACTGAGCCAAGAAGCTAAACAACAGCTCCTATAATAATTGGTCCCAAATGGCCAGCACTTGATTAGTAACTGACAGCTTCCTTAATATTTGGTCTCATTTCCAACTTAGGATCAATTAGGGATGCTTAAATATGCTCCCTTAGCCAAATCACATGAAAGGACCCTACTCTAGCCTTTATCAGGGCACGCCTGGAGCCCTCTCTTCCCAAAGTGAGCTGAATCACTCCTCTGCCTGCCTGTGAATCTCAGCCCTGTGTCGCAAGGATGGCCAACTCCAAATAAACAGGTTTTCCTTATTCTCATTTGGGTGGTCTCTCTGTTTGATTCTGTGCTATCAATCGTCTTCCTGAAGGTCAAATGTAAATAAACCTGGTTCAATGAGCAGAAACTTGTGGGTCTCTGACCATTTACAACCTGCTGATTCAGATTCTCATAAAGGGGGGCATTTATGTTTCTGCTGATGTTATCAGCATACTGTACTATAAAATAATATAGAAATCACCAATTAAAAATATTTAAATGAGTGGAAAATAGACCAGTAGAGTAGAAGAAGGACGATGGGGGAGAGAAGAGGAAAGGGTGAGGGAGGGCACCGGGGACTGAAATGGAATAAATTAAATTCCATTCATGTACGATTACCTTGCTGATGGACAATATACTTTTTAAAAATTCAGCATCCATTCTTTAAGTTATTTTTATACCTTATTTATTTTTATGTGGTGCTGAGGCTTGAACCCAGCGCCTCATACATGCTAGGCAAGCACTCTATCACTGAACTATAGCCTCAGCCCATGATGGACATATTTTTAAAATGTTTTTTAATGAAACATACTTCAACAAATGCTGGGCTTTCTCCTTCTGCATACGGGTTAGTCCTCCTCCTCAGATGCTCCTCCTTCCCCACTATGGCTGGTACTTCTTATGTGCTCCACAGACATAAATTTAAAAATAGACTGAATTTCAGAAGTATTTTTTCTTTGACGTGTCAAAGATGAGCTGAGTCTGTGAAGAGTTGCTTAAGCAAAACTGCATCCCTTAAGTGAGGGCAGCTTTTATAAAATGATCATTAGGGCCATCTCTGGAGTTCCCTCCCTTTACAATTTTCTCATGTTAAAAAAAAAAAATATTTCCTTTAGGTTTGATGTAGAACCTCTGAGTAATGCCAGTTTCTTTCCCCGGGGGCAGGGGGGTAATTTTTCCTTCAATAACTACTAACAACAGGGCTGCAAATAGTCACTCCTTCCTCAGGGACTAGTGAAGATGAGCAAGCATCTGAAGGACAGCAGCCAAACACAGCTTTGGCTCACAGCTGTAAAAACACACTGCTTATCCAGTTGGAGTTTACTTTCTCTGCAGCTCTAAAGAAGTAACTTTCCTTACTTCCAATCATACATCTGGACACTTTACATCCACCCACAGGCTAGGCAAGTGGTACATCCCTGACCCAAGATATTTTTTTTAAGTCCTTTGCAAATAGGAGCATAAAATACTATATTTCAGTTCCTAAGACAAGAATAAGATAAAATAATATAACTAACAACATCAACACTGTTCTCCAGATTCATGCATGATGAATTGCTAAACCCTGAGGTTAGAATTTTTTTTCTTTTTTTTTAAATCAGAAAGCTAGTTCCTAGCTAGACCAAAAGCAACATGAACATATTATTGTTTTAAAAAACAGGCACATGGGGTTAGAGAGCTCTCTGGTGACTCATTTCTGGACTCAAAATCATTTGGAAAGAAAATAGGAAAGCAGTGTCCACGTTGAATTAATTTGCTAAACTTATTTAGTTAAGAAAACTGCAAGAGCACACAGAAGATGCCCTTTTTTTTCCTAAGGGGGGGAAAATATTATAGCCCAATTTTAAACTCATTGAGTAAAATATCCTATATTATTTGGGTTTTGGCAAGAAAGAATGCATAATTAGATACCTTTTAGGAAGTTTAAAAAATGTCTTATCATTTTTTATGGCATAACAATAAGCCATTTTACATAAAGTTCAGATGCAATGAAACATTACTTACAAACCTGACTTAATCATATCTGTGCTCTACTTAGCAATCACATTATTTCATAAGTGATAGTTTTTATTTCAAATTAATTTGCAAGTTAACTTTTAAAAGCACATGTTGTTGAGTGCTTGAAGTCCTTTACAATTAGAAATTTAGGACATTTAGTGACTCAGGAGTTTCCTATCCCCAGGTGTGGGGAAATGCTTCTAAGAATTCACATTTTGAAAAAACTTTGACATCTAGCTCAAGTTTTGTGTTAAAATACTTGAATAAAAGCAAACTTTAAGAATTAAATAAAGTATATTTTAGATACAACTTTTTAAGGCAGCTTTAAATTCTTTCCAACCTGATAGTACTGCTATCTCTGCAGAATGGTATCTTAAGGTTTTGAAAACTGTTTTAAATATTTATAATTTTAAACATAATACTGAATAGTTGTTAAAGACAGGATGGTTAAAGAACAATGATGTTAAATGATAATTCTGCATCTTTTTCTCAATAGGAACTTCACCAAATTAAAAAAAAAAAAGTTCTTTTAAGGGTTAGAATTTTTTTTTTAAGAGGAATTTTAAAGGGGTAACGGAAAAATTGCATCCAATTTATGTGGATACAAACTTTATTGATTATCTATGTAAAGATTTTCTTTTCTTTTTATGCTGGGGATGAAACCTGCCAGGCCTCCTACAGGCTTGGCAAGTGGTACATCCCCGACCCAAGATTTTTTTTTTTTTTTAATCCTTTGCAAATAGGAGCATAGAATACTCTATGCAGTTCAGCACCGCAAAAAAGACAAAAGGCAGACCTTTTTTTGTAGGTGGAGTGGGTATGGGGATGGAGGTCAGGGGACTAGGAACCCTGCTTCGCCCAGAGCATGACTCAGCAAAAATCGCGGAAAGGCTCTCCGCGGAACTTCTGTGAACGCCGCCGCGTTTCCGAGAAGGAAGGCTCTGGGAGGGACACGTATCCGCCGCCCGTCAGACGCCCCGCCAGGGCTTGGTGCGGCAATGAAGTTTCGTGCCAAAATCGTGGACGCTGCCTGCCTGAATCAGTTCACGCGTGAGCTGGGAGGGCTGCGGGGAGTCTGGGAGGACCGGAAATAGGCCGACTTAGCGCGCAGCAGCCTTGCGGGAGGTTGGGGGTGGGGCTCTGAGTGCTGGAAGTTGGCCGTGGATCGCAGGCGGGTACTGTGGGAAGAAGAACAGTTGAAGGACCTATTTCTGAAACTTGATTCTGATCACATGGTCCTTCTTTTGTACTACTGCTCCCATCGACGTCTGGCATAGACATCCCTTTGCGTTAGGCCCCATTCCTCCTTCCACCGGACTGTGGCCAACATTGCTTTGAACTGTGTGCTGCAGCACCAGGCGGTCCATAAGTTTGTGTTGAATGTATGAATGGCCCTTACGTGCTAATTAGCCTCCGAACCTCAGTTTCCGTGTTGAACACGAACGGTGTGTGCCACAAGCCTAGCCGGGTTATTGTAAGACTGGCATGACATGCGTGGTACTGAAATATTTTCCGTCGTGATCCCTACACTGTTTTTCCGCCTGCAAGTTGCACTTCGATGAACTAGAAGTTCTGCAAGGCAAGGTGACTTCTAGGAAACATGATGTGTGTCTTAGTTACACCTTACTTTACTCCCTGTCACAGGAGTCAGTAACATGATAGCCAAGCTTGCGAAAACCTGCACCCTCCGAATCAGCCCCAATAAGCTGAACTTCATCCTTTCTGATAAACTGGCCAGTGGAGGAGTGAGCATGTGGTGTGAGCTGGAGCAGGTAAGCAGAAGTTCCCAAAAGGCCCCAGACTTCACCTAATGCTATTGGAAAACCCACAAATACCCGTTTTCTTTCCTTAGGAGAACTTTTTCAGCGAATTTCAAATGGAGGGTGTTTCGGCAGAAAACAATGAGATTTATTTAGAGCTAACATCGGAAAACTTATCTCGAGCTTTGAAAACTACCCAGAATGCCAGATCCTTGAAAATCAAGCTGACTAATAAACACTTTCCCTGCCTCACAATCTCTGTAGAGCTGGTGAGTAGGAAGAACAGGGTTTCACAAGCTTTCCACAAAGGTCTTGGCCCCTAAAGGATACAAATAGTTAAAAGCCCAGGCTTTTAAATAGTATGGTTGAAAGATAATTGGTTTGTTTTATAAAGATCTGTTGCATACCTAATTTTTTCTCTCACTTACAATCAGTTCTTCTTCTTTGTTATGTTAATGCTCTGATCACACAGTATTCAACTAGGATGCTGCCTTTTCCAAACAGTGAAACTTCCACATCTCTTGTTTCTTTTAGTGGTATCATTAGCTACTCTAGAAATCATGATTTTTATTCATTTTCACCTTTGGTATACTCTCCTCCCCCATCACCACCTTTGTTGTAGTACCTTTCAATAACAGTCATTCTTCAGTAAACATACTGTCTCACATACTGCCAGATGAGTTTAGTGTATAGTTATCAGAACACACACATGATGAAGTTTGGTTTCTTTGATGTTCAAAAGCTTTTGACATATAGCCCAAGTTATCTTGGAACTATATTCCAAATTACCACCCTCTGGTTCTCTGGATGTGTCCCGTTCATTCCCAACTCACAGAATGGTGACATTGGCCCTTCTACTTGGAGTCTTTCTCCTCTCTTAAACCTTCTCTTTCTTTAGCACTCAGCATCAGTGCTACCTCCTCCACAGTCTCCCTTGTCCTTACAGTTCTCTCCTTGTTTTGTTTGTGCTTGGTAATCTATATGAGTATTATTTACAGTTTCAAATGTTCTATGGAAGAGGATATTTTTTTTTTTTTTATTAACTGTTATTAGCTCTTTGCAGTTAGGCAGATCTTAGAGCTCATCAGCATATTCCATGTCACAATATTAAGTATGGAGTTTTCTTCCACTTCTTAAGGGAAAGTGGGGTAATAAAATACAATAGTTTTTCTATTTCAAAATGCAAGATACTTTTATCTGAGTCTCACAAAAGCCCCTAGAAATAAACATAGTTTATTCTTTTAGCAGTGTAGAAACTGCAGCACTCTGAACATCCTGTGCTCAAAGAATGGTCTCTGGGTTGCTTCAACATAGTAAGCTTGCTTGTTTCTGTCTCAGAACTAGGTATTTTGTTCTGTGCATGAAACCATGTCTCCTCATCCCCATCTTCCCATAGTCATCTTCCTCTAGTTTTTGTGTCATCTGAAACATCACCTCTGAAGAGAGTCCTACGTGGGCCCCCCAGTATAGGAACCTCCTTCATGCTTAGCCTGGTCATTGCTCTGTTTTCTTGAAGGCTTTAATGAGTATCTCTTATGATATATATATATATATATTTTTTTTTTCTTATTGATCCATTCATTCCACTGGAGCATCAGGGAACCTGTTGTTTGTTCACCACATTTGCCAGCTACTCCTAGAACCCAGAGCAGAACTGATAATGACAGTATAGGTTGAATGGATTTTAAGTGAATGAATTGAGAACATTCCACTTAGATTTGATATTTTCAGTTTTTTTATGCTTAATCCTTTGCTTTTGATTTTGTTTTTAATATTGACAACATAAAATATATTTTGAATTCTTTTCTTGGCAGTTATCTGTGTCAAGCAGTAGTCGCATTGTGACCCATGACATCCCCATAACGATTATTCCTAGAAGATTGTGGAAGGACTTACAAGAACCCTCAGTCCCAGATTCTGATGTGAGTGAGGCCTGCAGTCTTGTTGCTCATTGCATATTAAAGGGTGTGTGTGTGTGTGTGTGTGTGTGTGTGAGTGTGAGTGAATTAATTTTAATTGTCTTGCAGTATATTTTATTTGAAGGTTGTGTAGTACCTGAAATGAAAGTGGTATTATTTATTTTTAAAGGAAAAAAAATTAAAATGTTTTCTTTGATTTATTTAAGCCATCTTAAATCACTGTTGCATATAGTAGAAATACCATCCTCTCTACATATAAGAAGTAGAATATCTTGCTCAGATAATTTATATTTATTAGAACTCTTGGCCTTAGGCACCAAGTTGAGTTTCACAGGACTTGAGGGCCAAATATGTGTTAAAAAGCCACAAGGAGAGACATTTGCATGACCTGGAACTTGATAGGAACCCTGGAGCTACTGAAAATAATGATGAAGCCAAAGAGTCCTTTGCTTTTTGCTCACAATTACAAATATATACTGGAAATTATAATTATACTGGATAGAACATGTACTTGTTTTTTCACTAGGAAACAACAACACAAACTAGGAAAAAGCCAACCTGTTGTAAAGCACTGCTAATGACAGCCCCAGGTGAGAAGCAGTGGCTGCTGCACTGTATTTTTGTGCAGAGTGCACAAAAGGCCCCTGAGACCTGGCTTTGTACATCCCTCAGGGCAAGTCTTCTGCCCAGTGCTTGAATTTTATTCCCTTGGGCTCATACATAGGCATCTCAGTTGTAGCACTCTGGTCCTCAAACCAAAGGAATGCCCATAGGGATGTAGTCGCTGAGGTAACCAGAGGCAGGCATTCATTTCTTTAATTTTACTCAAATGCCTGTGAGTTAATGAAATTATACAGTTGTTTTCCTTTTGGTATTTAAAAAAGAACTCTATTCAGAAAATTAAAAACCAGGAATTCAGAGTTCTTAAGCATGTGTGCAATCCCAAATTAGTTATTGAGCAACTTTTCGTAACTAGAATGTATTAATTTTTTTATACTTGTGATTGCTCTTATTGGTTTTGTAGGTGAGTATTTATTTGCCAGTCTTGAAGACTATGAGGAGTGTTGTAGAAAAAATGAAAAATATCAGCAATCATCTTGTAAGTAATAACTTTTTTTTTTTTTTTCTATAATGTTAGCCTCCTTTTGGGAGGACAGCCTACCATGGACTTGGGTATGGTGCTCCTGTGCCACTGTGAGACATCTGAGGCATCTCACTAAAATCCTTGTGAGGCCTCGCCTGGTGCTAAGAACAAGCAGTTTTACAGTTGCCTTTAGAAACCTCTTCTAGTGCGTTTCAACTATCATTCACTGGGGAAGGCTTTCTATTTATTCTTAATCCCTCATGTCTATGGGTATAGTTTATTATGAATATGTTTAACAGTTCTGCTTCTTTTTCTTTATTTTAGACAGGAACTTCCATATTTTATCTGCTAATGTGTATATGTTTTTTAAAATGAATCATGGATTCAGTTGACAGTGTAAAATGTTCTATCTGCTTGCCAAATGTCTTTCACTAAACCATAAAGATCCCTCACACCTCAGCAGTTTTTTAATTCCAAAAGATCTCACACCAAACCAATGGATGCTTGTATTTTTCTATTTATTCTGTGAAGGTCTCCTTCTGCCATGTTCAAAATACTACAATATGCGGCAGTGGTGAAGAATTGTGTGGATTGTCCTCCTACACAGCAGGGCTTATCCTGAATTTTACTTTCACATCCCCACCCCCAATAAAGGAAAAAAAAACACATTTATATCCTTCCATCTTTAAAAGCCACATTTCACTTTATAAACTTAAACCTCTGATCTTCCCAGTCACATGGAGATGTGGCTGGGCCATATCTCTATGGGACCAGGCTACACTGGGTTCTGTGGGCTATAGGTCCACACTGGGCTCTACCACATCTAACAATTCCTCTCTTCTTTTTGGGTTTTGTTTCTTGGCCATTTCACACTCAGTTTCTTATGTCTGTCATCTCCTGGGAAGCGCTTAAACATTCTCACTGTTCACCCCAGACCCTTTCCCACAGTCTGGCAGAAAGCCCCTCCTCCACTGAACTCCTTTCTTCAGTGTACACCATAAACCTGCCAGTATCAGAACTTCAACTGCCATCTTCTGGAAAGGAGAGAACCTGTCTTATTCTGTGTTCCAGGACCCAGGGTAAGATTGTCACTTGGTGTGCAGTAATTAGTATTGCTGCATGGATCTGGTGTGAAATTTAGCTTGGAATTTTAAAAAAAGGAAAGTTTTTTTTTTTGAAGCCTAGAAAATGTTCATGGGCCGTTTTATCTCTTTGAGTTCTGCTCACTTAAAAACAGTGCTGACATTAGGCTTATCCAGCTGAAAGCTTTCTCATGTAATTTAATCTTCACAGAACCCATTTGAGGCTAAAATCTGTTTCCCATGAAGCAATGCATTGTGCTTACTGTGGTGTCCACCATGATGCTGATCCAGTTGTCAGGCTGGCTTCCTCTAGGATCTCCTGGGATTTCCAGAGAGTTTCAGAGAGACCCAGGGGAGAAGATGTGGCAATTATCGGAAGGGCATATTTGTTCTTTCTGTTCCATGGAAATGAGTCAGCAAAATAGAGAGGTTGAAAGTGGCAAAGTAAAACCAGAAATGTTAGTTTTCCTTTTTAGGAGTATTTAAAAATGTCTACAAGTTTTATGGAGTGACTATTATAATATGAAATTGCTAAATGGAAGCTTACCAAGTTAGATTAGCTGAGTATTTAATGAGATTAACCTGGATAACCAGAAGTCTGTGTCTGAAAATAATAGGTAGTAGAATTAAGGAAAATGAATGAGACTCTACCCTCCCCTAAGAGATGCTTGATCCCTACCTTCCTTCATTTAAGGCAAGAAGGCTGATAGGATTGGGTTGTATATGTGAGTCACATAGAAAATGGAGCAAATACCACCAGGAGTCCATGCCATCTTCTGACACATTGCTTCTAAGCCACCTGTGCACAAGAATCCCTGAGATCTGGTTAGAATCTGGTTTGAATTTGGGAGGAATGGGCTGGGCCAAGGCTCTGCACTTCTGAGCAGCTCACGGTGCTGTTGCTGCCTGTCTTTGAATCACTCCCAGCAGCAATGTTTAGTGATGCGTGCCATGCTATAGGTCATTTGAGAGAAAGGGCCTTCACAAGATCAGCTTAATGATTAAAATAAGAGAACATGACTTAAGGGTGGGAAGTAAAGTGATATGTGGTGGAGGAGGGGTGGCATTGTGAACCTTAGTGTAGAGTATTATTACCCTAAATGGGACAATAGTAGAGCTATCATGGGTTTTGTCACTTATTATATATTGAGAGATAATAATTTGTGGTAGGTTCCCAGTATAGTTCATTGGCGTTCAATGAATGGAAGGTAACAATTATTAAGGAATTCATTGAAAGAAGTAAGATCCTGTCCTCATAATTAAGAAATTGATTATGTTGATGCACATAGTAGTTCAGATAACTGAATCATAAAAATCAGTGATTGATGTTCAGAGAATTGGCTGTTAATTCCTTCAGAGTGTTAATTGAATGCTACCATGTGCCAGACTGGGTGGGATCAGAAACAAATTTGAATCTAATGTTCCATTACACATATTTTAGGAATTGGAAAAAAGCATAAGAGCCTGAATGTAATTTAGAACCAATGCAAGTTGCTTTTTTGACCAAGAATTTGTTTCTAAAACCACTCTCCTTCAAAAGCAATGGGAATTTACAGATCTCTGTTATGTGGTTGTTTGAAACAAATAGGTATATGTCATGTGCTAGCTCTAAAGAGCCCCACTGAGTGATCCAGAACATTCACAAGGATGGTTTTATTTATTTTATTTTAATAAAATATTGTTCCAGATTAGAGGACAGTAGGTTAATAAATATACCAGTATATTTCTGTGCTAATGAAAGACTTACGATGAATGTTTTTTATTCAAAAGTAAATTTACAAGATTATACAAAAAGTGAGTTTAAGGGGGACTTATTCTGATGTCAAAAGCTCAGAAATAAGAGTTCACTCAAGTTCATAAAAACTTTTGTTTCTGGAATCTGAATGATTTAGAGTTTGGCAGTTTTAAGGCATGAGAATGAGAAACACTAAGTGATATTCCCTAAAATGGGTGCTCTAGCAGAGTTGTGCAGAAGGGTACTCTTCCGCTCCATAAAGGTCTCTCTGCCCCTCTCCCAATAGCACTTTCAAAGATGTGTGGGGCCTACTAAATCAAAGGCCTGTACTAACCTGTACTCACTAAACTCTAGTTTAGCTGGCACACTTCACTACTGGTTGGCAGAGTGCTGACAGCAAACTCTATACAGGCTTTAACAATAGGCAGATGCCAACATCCAAAATAGAAATACTGTGTCCCTGTGGTCATGGTAGTGCATACCTGCCTCGGGAGACTGAGGCAGGAATTTGAGGCCAGCCTCAGCAATTTAGCAAGGCCCTTAGCAACTTAGTGAGAACCCTATCTCAAAAGGGGCTCAGGATGTAGCATCCCTGGGTTCAATCCCTAGTACCAAAAAAAGAAATGAAAGACAGTGTCCCATGAGCAGGTTAGCAAGACTCAACGCACATTGTGCTTGTATTTCACTTCATTTACAATAACCAGTAAGTTGGTGGATTGGTGGAGTGAAGGGAAGAACTTGAAAGGAAAGGAACCCCCTGTGACCTTTGTGGCCAGTCCCAGATGGGAAGAGCAGGAGTGAGCTGGGTGTGCCTATAATCCCAGAGGCTCAGGAGGCTAGATAGGAGAATCGCAAATTCAAAGCCAGCCTTAGCAACCTAACGAGGTCCTGAGCAACTTGGTGGGATTCTGTCTAAAAATAAAATATAAAAAGGGCTGGGGATGTAGCTCCATGGTTAAGTACCCGTGGGTTCAATCCCTGGTACCAAAGCAGGGGGAAAAGAGCAGAAAGAGCAGGAGTTGCAGAGAGGTCTGTGATAGAGGAGAAGGGAGGGACAAAAGTCTTAGTCCTCTCCCCAAGCTGTGCTATGGGTGCAGAGACTAGCCACCAGCAACATTGTGTCTTGCTCAGTTCTCATTACATGACAGCAGCCCCTTACCTTTTTGAATCTGGAAATCTCATTTGCCAACATCTAAAGTATTTTCAGGATAAATTATTCTCATTAAACTCTGAATGTCTCTATGGTCATACTAAATTTGTAATTATGCCAGATAGTTTGGTCCATTTATAGAAATAAGGCACTAATTTCTATGTTACCTTCCCATTCTCCCTGCTCCTGCTTTTTAATAATTGTGTTTAGGTCCACATTGTCATAGAGTACAATTATTGTACCTTATTATCTTCCCTTATTATTAATTTTGGCTGTACAGATAAAAGCAGCCATATCTGTCTTTGTGTTGTAACTGCAATAATTTTTTGTTATCTGATGCTTATTCTCTAGCATCTCATTCTGGAAGGACTTGAAGGCCGAAGAATTTCATTAGCTGGCCTATGTTCATGACGTCATTTTGTTCATGATGTTCATTTGTCACTTGTTGGCTCACTGTACTTTATTGTCTTTGTTATATAATGCTGCTGTCAGAGAGACTAATGTCATTCTGATTTTGTTTCATTTTTTAATAAGTTGGATTATTAATTTGAGGTAAGGGGACATAAATACCCCAGAGTTTGTTTTGTTTTTGGTGTGTGTGTTGCTTTTATTTTCTTTGAATCCCATTGTCTTGACACCTGGTCCACTTCACCAGGTGTGGGGAGTATACCTTCTGTGTGTTAGCCAGCCTTCCTTCACGTCAGGAATGTTTTGAACTATGACTGTTAGCACTTCTTTCTTTTTTTTTTTTTTGGATTGAACCCAGGAGCGCTTAACCACTGAGCCACATCCCAGCCCTTTTTATATTTTATTTAGAGTCAGGGTCTCGGTGAATTATATAGCGCCTCACTAAATTGCTGAGGCTGGCTTTGAAATCACAATCCCCCTGCCTTGGCCTCCAGAGCTGCTGGGATTACAGGAGGGCACCACTGTGCTAGCTAGCATTCCTTTGTACCCAATCCTTTGATTTTCTTCTTCTGGGACTCATTGGACGTGGATCTTCTTCACTTCCATATCTGTTTTCTTTCAGATTCTTTTTAGCCCTTTATTTCTCTTTGGTAATTTTTACATTTTTGCCTTTCTATTACAGCTTTACTTACTGTGGTCTTTGGTGCTTATTTGTTCTTCTCTTTCTTCAAGTTTAGTTTACTTTTGGAAATTTTCTTATATTTCTAACCATTTCCTGAGCTCTGCCAGCTCTTTTTTTTTTTTTTCTTTAATGGATTTGCTGTGTGGTCTTTTCATTTCTAATCTTCCCTAATTCTGATTTACTGCTGTTCTTTCCTTGCTTCTATTGTTTGTTTATTCAAGTTCATTTTCTGCATTTGCTTGTGGAGTATTTTCAGGTCTTTTCATATGCTATTTGGGTATTATTATTTCTGTTTCTCTTTTTTCTTCGAATACATATAGAATTCAGTCACAGTCTGAATTTTTTATTGATTTTTTAAAATAAATGACATTGGAATGTATTACAATTTCTATTACACATTTAGAGCACAATTTTCATATCTCTGCCTTATGAAAAATTGTGCTCTAAATGTGTAATAGAAATTATAATATACAATTGTAATAGAAATTGTATATACAGTATATTCACACCAATTCATGTCTTCATACGTGTACTTTGGATAATGATGTCCATCACATTCCACCATCATTGCCAACCCTATGCCCCCTCCCTTCCCCTCCCACCCCTCTGCCGTATCTAGAGTTCATCTATTCCTCCCATGCTCCTCCCACTACCCCACTATGAATCAGTCTCCTTATATCAGAGATAACATTCGGCATTTGTTTTTTTGGTGTTGACTAACTTCACTTAGCATTATCCTCTCCAACCCCATCCATTTACCTGCAAATGCCATGATTTTATTCTCTCTTATTGCTGAGTAACATTCCATTGTGTATATATGCCACATTTTAAAAATGTATCTACTGAAGGGCATCTAGGTTGGTTCTACTGTTCAGCTATTGTGAATTGTGCTGCTATAAGTAGTATGCTGTTTTTAAGTCCTTTGGGTATAGACCAAGGGGAGGAATAGCTGGGTCAAATGGTGGTTCCATTCCCAGTTGTCCAAGGAATCTCCATACTGCTTTCAATATTGGCTGCACCAGTTTGCAGTCCCGCCAGCAATGTATGAGTGTACCTTTTCCCCACATCCTGGCCAACTTTTATTGTTGTTGTCACCAAACAATAAAAAGTTGTTGTTGTGTTTTTGGTTCTTTTAAGAAGTTTCATTGTAGATGTGTGAATGAAGACAGTTTTCTAACTTTTCACAGCTTCTTTATTCTTTAAAATATTAAGGCATATAGACTGGGACCATCTCCCTAGGACTTTCTGAGACTTGTCCCTCTTTTCCTCCCCTTTATATAACCTTCCTTCACTTTACTTCCAAGATTGTGCCTCCTGTTAATTGTGTTTTTACTTTTCTCTGTTCCTTTTCAGTATAGGGCTTCCTTATCCTGTAAGGGAGCCCTCTGCCCAGGCATCCAGAGCCAGGTCCCCGTAGCCATTGTTTCCAGCAAGTCCCCTCCCACTACCCCTGCTTTCATGTCTCTCACTGATTTCTCCACTAAGGGAACCTTTCTTTTGGTGTCTTAGGGGAATATCTGAGTTCTGGGCTCTGAGGACTTATCTCCTCTCTTGTCCTTGACATCACCATGATCTAAGTGCCTGAGGTGTTCTGAGGTTTAACAGGTTGCCTGGTCACCTGACTTTGTGGAAGCTAATATCTGTAGGGTTCTTTTTTTTTTTTTTTGCCTTCCTTGTCTTTTTAAGACAATTTTACAATATTCAATTTGTAGATTATTGAAGCAAACCTAAATGGAGATTTGAACTTGAAGATAGAAACTGAATTAGTATGTATTACAACTCATTTTAAAGATCTTGGAAATCCTCCATTAGGTAAGTTTTCTTGTGGATTATATTTTTCTGTTGATAAGTTATTTCAGGTAACATGTGCTTTGAGGTCTCAATGTAGAAAAGTTGAAATTCAGTTTATTCAATTTCATGCTTGGACTATCTGTCCCTACCCTATAGTGGGACATTAGCCATTGGGGGAAGGGGCTGAGACACCAGGCAGCTGAGGGAACTGCACAGGGGATTCTTCCACCTCTCTAGAACTCAGATCATACTAAATGAGCTCCAAGATCCTTTCTAGCTTGTCAGTCCATTCTGCTCTGAGAGATTTCAGTTTCCGTCCTGGAATATGATCAGAAAGGCAGGTACATTTCTTATTTTCTCCTTCTTTAGTCACTCCAATATTTATAAAATTAGATTAGCAGATATAAAATGTGATACAGATATACTTAGTCAGGTAATGAAGGACTGTGGAGTTGGTTCAGCAAGCAGTGAAGGAGGAGATTGAACAGCATGCTGAGCAGTGAGGCCAGAGGAGCTGGCACATGTGGCTCAAGCAGATAAGCAAAAGACCAAAGAAAAAGTATCTGCAAACAATGTCAAATTATTTCCTGACATATATATTTATTTGGAAACAGGTGAAATAGTTCCCAGTCACCTTTAAAATTAAAATTTATTACTACATTTGCTTATCTATACATAGATAAGCAATTTTAGCATAACACTGCAAAGGATTTTTACTTTGTAGTGGAGTGTATACTACTCTAGCAGAGTAAAATCTGTATGATTAAAGTTGAACAATACTGCATGGAATGACTTATTTTGGCATTATTTATTTTATTTATTTTTTATTTTTTAGTACAAGGGATTAAAGCCAGGGACTTAAACTTAACCATTGAGTCACATTCCAAGCCCTTTTTTATTTTTTATTTTGAGACAGAGTCACACTAAGTTGGTAAAGATCTCGCTAAGTTGTTGAGACTGGCTTTGAACTTGTGATCCTCCTGCCTTAGGGGCTCTGGGATTACAGATGAGCACCACCACACCTGGCTATTTTGTTTATTTTAATAAATACAAAACAGAACTACTTTTGGTACTTTCCCAGAAGTTGAAAGACTCTTTTATTGCATTCTACTTTAGAATAAGAGGTTTTGTATTAGCTATCTACATTTCAGCTTTTAAATGCATAGTAAGGAGCTGAGTGTGGTGGTGCATACCTATAATCCAAGGTATTCAGAAGACTGAGGCAGGAGGATCAACAAGTTCAAGGTCAGCCTGGGTAACTTAGCAAGACTCCTTCTCAAAATAAAATAAGATGTATTTTCTAAAGAGAAGGAGATGGAGAAGTGGCTCAGTGGGAAAGGGCTCGTGCAAGAGATCCTGGGTTCAGTACACAATACCAAAAATAAATAAGTAGTGAATATCAAATATAATTTTCTTTCACATAAAGGGGAGGTTGAACCATATTTCAAGTTCTTGTAAATGAAGATGCCCTGGAAATTATCACAGTACTATTGATTGATTGATTGATTGATTGATTCCAGGTATTGAACCCAGAGGCACTTAAGTACTGAGCCATATCCCCAGCCCTTTTTATATTTAGAGAAGATAGGGTCTCACTGAGTTGCTTAGGAGCTCACTAAATTGCTGAGGTCGGCTCTGAACTTGAAATCCTCCTGAATCAGCCTCCTGAGCTGCTGGGATTACAGGCGTGCACCACTGTATTTGGCTTATTACAGTATTTTAAATAGTTATGACCAAATAAATACTCATGCAATGAGTGACAATATTTACAAGTTGTTATATTTCTCCAGGGTACTAAAATCAATTGCAAGGTGAAACATTTATTTAAGTAAGCATGTTTTGTGTATTTCTGGATTCTGTTACTTCCAAGGATGTTATACTTTAAAACATTTGTGTCATTTTAGCCTCTGAAAATACTTCTCAGAACAGAAACCCAGAAGAGATGGCTGAGGTGCACATAGATATCAAGAAGCTCCTCCAATTTCTTGCTGGACAGCAGGTGAATCCTACAAAGGCCATATGCAGTGAGTTTGCTTCTCTGTTTTTTGTTTTGGGTTTTTTTTTGTTTTTTGTTTATCTTAGGCAGTTTAGGTCACTCTAGTCCAACAGATTGCATGCCATCTTATAAATGCAAAATGATCCCAAGTATATGGACTTAAGCTTTCTAGGATAGTCAAGTTCTTAAAATTTGCCTGGATTTAGAAGCATCTAGAGGAAAGCCTACAGCCACACTGGGTAGGCATGTGGCCTGCCTCATGCGGCCACCACGCAGCAGGTCATTCTTGCAGAGACACTGTCAGGAGGACCACACAGATGGCTTCTGTTCACCAGGTTCCTCAGATTTTACACATTCAGAGTCCCCTGTATGCTGTGCTTAGATCTGAATTTTCATTCACAGTGTTTTGCTTCCTTTTTTTGTCCACCTTTCCTGTGCTCACCACCAGAATCTCCTTCTCAGATGCTGGTTATTACTGATTACCTCTCAATTCTGGCTTAATCCCGACTCTGAGGTCACACACCTACCCTGGCTCTCCTTATCTACTGGCCACATGTAGGCAGGACATTCTTGCCAAGGGCTTCTCAGGGTGTTTTCTGCCTCCTTGCAGCAATCTAAAAGAAATTGAAGCTCCTCCTTTTGTGGAATAGCTCCAAGGCTGACCCTTCAGACACTAGTGGATAAAGCTGAGGAGAATGGCCCAGAACAGTACCTTAGAACATTTGGATCTTCACTACACTGTAGAGAAGAAATAGAAAATTCTAGGTGACTCTGTCAAAGAGAGACACGGAGAAAGCACTAAGAATAGAGAGGAGGGACTCTGGGAGGGGTGGTGGCGTCAGGTACTCAGGGAAGGTGGCAGATGGAGTATGTAGCACAGTTTGCCCAGTGTAAGGGGAACGTGGGAACTTGGGCCTTCTCTACATTGTGTCATTCACTGGTGGGCAGCAGCTTTTCTATGGAAGGGTGTGATTGACTCTGTGTGGTTTACTGGGAAGCCTGCCTTTTGGGTTTGAACCTAAGACCTGGGAAGCTGTGTTCTTCTCTCATTTTTTTCCCCTGAGAAATGACAGTTGCCTGTGTTGTGACCTCTTCAGGGACCTGCTGAGAAGATAGAGACCTTCCATAGGAGGTGTTCAGTGTGGAAAAACTGCTCTGATGGGGGGCATGTGTGTTTTGTGATGAGTCTTTAAAATAGTGGCTCTTCTCTCCCCAGATATTGTGAATAATAGGATTGTTCATTTTGATTTGCTTCATGAAGACGTCTCCCTACAGTATTTCATCCCAGCATTGTCCTAGCATCACCTTGCCAGATTTGAAAGCCCAGAGGCCTTTGTCCTGACGGGAGAGGCAGTGGGGCAATGTGTTCTGAGTCACTTGTCTCTCCTCACAACACCACAAATATCCACACCATGCTTATTCTTCCTCTATAATATTTTAACTAAAAATGAAATCAGTGCAACATAGTTGGATAAACATATTACTTTATATTATTTATGTCTGTTTTGTTTTTTATTTTTTATTTGCTTTTAAGACATTGAGAAGAAGAGCTAAAATTTATCCAGTCTTTATTTATTTTGTGGTGCTGGGAATGGACCCTAGCACTCTACTGCTGAGCTACACCTGGCCCTCTCCTCTTTAAACAGCAGTTTCTCATTGAAGTTATGAAAATCCTCACACACGTGGAATCAGTGTCATAGAATTCATAAGAGTGTTGCCCACGGAACTTGGAGTTTTCCCCCAAGTACAACCTCTAGCTCAGCACACTGTTGGCCACTCTCAAATTTCAGCATGTTTCTCTCTCCTTGCTCCCATCCCCAAGAGCCCAGTGATAGAAAAGATGGTCCTTCCATCCCCCACAGCACCTGTGGTTATTTAGTGCTCAATAACTGCAGCATAGGACCCTCTGTCCAACTTGCAAAGAACTCGAGCCCACTTGCCTCTCTGCACCCTGAAAGCTGGCCCAGACAACATGGTTCTCAGCTGCAAGCTTGTCCCTTCCTTCTGCTGCTCTCACTGTCTCCCTGGGGCCAATTTTGCTCTTAAGTTGTTTTTTGCAGTGCCAGGAGTTAAACCAAGGGCCTTGCATATGCTACACTGAGCTACATCCCCAGTCCTTTGGTTTATAATTCTTTATAGTGTTTTTTTTTCTCTGTGGTACATCAGATCTTTCATTTTGAGAAGAATTTGCATTAAGAGTAGAAAAAAGGAATTTCTAAGTTAGCTTTTGTGTTAAATGATGAGACCTTGTTTCCGTTTATGTATCAAAGCTGATGCAGTTGTGATGGATGTGCTTCCTCATTCTCCCTGAAGCACATTCCATCATATTTCCTATTTTAATTAAATCTCATGTGACCTATGGAGGTGGACATAATACATAGAGTATTGTAATGTCTCATTACAAAGTCAAGACCTATTTTGTTTAGGATAAGATGAAGAAATGGAACATCAACAAAAATGAAAATCTCTTTTGGCTTTATTATTTGATAAAACCAATGTATGTGAATGACTTTTCTGGTTTTTAGTAATGTTAGTTTCAGTAGGATGTTCTATTTTGTGAAGCTAACGTTTTAAAATCAGACATTTTAGTTTTGAAATGCTGTTTCCCTTCTTGGCTTGTAATAAAATCAATTCCCACTATAGTCATAAAACCTAAAAATCATGATGCAAAATAGAATGATATCTGAAAATTATTTTATAAAAAATTATGTTTGTGAAAATGTGTTATGACTTACCAGTTGTATAACATTTATTATCAGTGTATCTGAACTGTATGATTTTATGGATAGTTCAGGATTTCCTGTCCTTGGAATGTGGCTAAAGAAGTCCTCATTGGCAGTGGGGAGGCTACAGTCTTTCTGATTTTTGTCACAACTTGCTTTGTTTTGTTCATCAAGTCTCCTACTCTTTGCATCTCACAGACCTATACGATGAGGGAGGGAACTAGTAGAAAACCACAAACTTAGGAAGTGTATGGGGTTGCTTTATTGAACAGTGTGCCAAGATAAGATTATGTAAACAAGAAATAGCAATTTAGTTCATTCAGAGGACCAAAGGTAACTTCTGGATTTTGGAAACACACTTTTACTGGCTGTGCATGTGTAAGAATTTAGGTTTGAGGAGCACTGTCCTAAATGTCAGAGCCAGTAAGGCATCCTCTTGCCTTGCCTGCATGGGCTCAGAGCCCAACTTACCTTTGGTAGCCCCATCTTTTGTTGTTGTTGAACTGGGCATTGAACTTAGGGGCACTTTACCACTGAGTTACATCCTCAGTGGATTTTATTTTTTATTTTGAGATAGCATCTTGCTAAGTTGCTGGGGTATCCCTAAGTTAACTGAGTCTGGCTTCAGACGTTTAATCCTCCTGCCTCAGCTTTCTGAGTTGCTGGAATTACAGGGTGCATCACTATGTGCAACTGATAGCCACATCTTGAACTGAGTTTTGAGACCATCCTGAGTAAGTCAGGGAGACATAAGAATTTCTAATCCAGGTACTCAAGCTCACATCCAAGTGGCCTTGCCATCTTCCAGCAGCCTTTCCTTAGTTCAGCAGGGAATTACTTACCCATCAGGTCTCAGATATAGTTTATTAGATAATGCTTCCCTAGCACAAAGTACCCTGCTCTTACCCTGAAAAGTGGCATCAGCATTAGTTCTGGAGCAGGAATTCTGATTCTGTCTCAGTGAAATTTCTTAATGATGTTCATATTCTTGGTATATGCTGCCAAATGGATAGAGTATTCATCTTTTTGAAGAGAGATACAATTCTATGCATTTTTATTTTAAAAACTTTATTGAAAGTCACTGATCATACAGTTAATCCATTAAAGTATTCAATCTGGTGGGTTTAGTTCGTTCACAGGCCTTGTGCAGCCACCACCACAATTTTAGAACTTTGTCATTACCCAATAAGGAAAATCCCAAACCACTCAGTCATTCCCATTTCCAACCCCTGCTCCACTTTTCCTTGCAGGCAACCCAGTTGTCTACTTTTCTGCCTCTGTACATTTGTCTTTTCTGGACATCTTTTTAAAGCTCCTCCTTTCTAACTGTAATTAGATATACTTCGATCAGTATTTCCACATACCTACCTTCGCCACAGCCACACAACCCCTGGTGACCACTATTCTACTCTCTACTTCTACAATTCCACATATGAATCATATGAGCAAAATCATACAATGTTTGTCTTTCCATGCCTGATTTATTTTACTTCACATAACTTCTCCAGGTTCATTCATTCATGTTGCTGCAAATAATTATAAAAGGTTATTTTAAACTGAACTTTGGTCACTAAAAAAATCTTTTAAAAAATCTAAGTCTTCTTATCCTCACATTATTATTGTTGTTGTTGTTGTTGTTATTGTGTGTGTAATACTAAAGGCCTCACATATGTTAGGTAAGTGCTTTACTGCTGAACTACAACTCCAACCTTTTTTTAAAAATTTATTTTGGGTTTCACTAGGTAGTCCAGCCTGGCCTTAAGCCTGTGATCTTCTTGCCTCAGCCTCCTGAGTAGCTGGGATTACAGGTGTGCACCACTGAGTCTGGCACTTTTGAATTTTTAATGTCACAATTTATAACTTTTTATATTACATAATCCTTAACCATTTGTAATTGGTGGGGAATACAAATGCCATCTCCAGATTACTTTTTCTACAGTATAAATCATCAATTCAGGGAAATTTGCTGCAGGTGGCACTCCATTGCCTTGATGGGGAGGAGCCTCACAGAGAACTTTCTCTTAACATATGATTGCAGTTTTTCTCATATCTGTGATTCAAGGGGCAACACAGCTTCACTGAGTTCTGGAGTACTCAGGTGGTAATCTTGCCACTGAATAGTTGTGGTAGAAATTCTGTGGGCATGAAAAGAAGCTGAGAACTCCACCATTTTGCTGACATTACTCTTTAATTCTGAACTTTGTAAGGATTCCAATAGGGAAAGTCTGAAAGGAAGCTCAAATTTTTTGGACTTTCAGAGCTGCTTCCAAATACGGTTGTTGAACTAAGACAAAATCATTTTTTATAACTGATATTACCCTGAGATTACAGAGAAATCAATTAACCCCACTTGGACATTGCTGATGGTATTGTGAATTGATATCACTTGTTGGAGTCCAGTTTGGTGTTTATTATATATGAAAAGCCTTAAAAAAAAGTGTGATTTCTTTTGATAATACTTCTTCCTATAAGAATTTACATAAAGATTATAATCAAAGATATTCTAGTACTGTTATATGAAAACCACAAAATGTCTTAAATATAAATTAATGGGTAATTGGTTTTATGATCCATGCTTTGATATGTTTCATACTGTGAAAATAATGTTACAGATAAAATATACCAAGATTACAAAATGTTTATGACTTGATAGTCAAGTTAAAAAAGCAGTTTAGGCCTGGGGATATAGCTCAGTGGTTGAGTGCTTGCCTAGCATGTGTGAGGTCCTAGATTCAATCCCCAGTACTGAAAAAGAAAAAAAGTGGATTAGATGTTAGTATGAACTAGGTGTGTTAGAAAAAGACTGGGAAGATACATATATACCAACATCCAAACCTGGCTATTTCTGGGTGATTCTGATTTCAATCTTTGTATAATTATGTATTTTCTAACAATTTTATAACCAATTGTAACAAAAAATACTTTCATTGGACTGAATAATAAATATTTATTATTTGAATATTTGTTATTTGAATATTTATTATTTGTACATATTTAGCTGGCATTTTCAGTTTCCTGAACTTCAGGCTTAATTTCCTGAACTTCTGCACGTATTTATTCTCATGAATAGAAAATTAAACTTATATGTCATATTGAAATTATACCAAGTTCAGAATGCTGGAGCATGGACCAATAAAATGGTAGTACATTGAAGAATGGCCTCTTTTTATCCCATGTGAATGTGTTAGCTTTCTGTCACTGTGACAGAATACTGAGATAATAAGAGAAAAGGTGTATTTGGCTCAAAGTTTGGGGAGTTTCAGTCTACAGGCTTTGACCTATTGCTTTTATGCCTGTGGCGAGGCAGTAGTTTTAGTCTGAAAAATTCTGAGAGAGACCAGCTAGGTCAGAGGGCTTAAAAAAAAAAAAAAAAATCACTGAATGATAACAATAAGATAACCCCAATGGTAACATGAGGAAATAAAGCACTTGTTTCTGGTCTAGGTCCTGTACATATAGCATTACCCAGCTGAGCCAGTTTGGTAATCACATGCAACATGCATGGCTCTGAAAGATGCTGAATCCCACGTCTGAATACCCAGTGATAGATTCTGCTTCTTCCCAGCCACCTAATATTGGGTAAGTCAGTTAACGTCTTAGAGAGATGGCTTCTCTAACAGTGATTAATAATGTTCACTACCTGTGTGGTTGGAATATCAAGGAATTCAATTCCTCAGAGACACAGTTCTCAATTGGGAAGTATAAGATGTCAGCATTTGTAAGCCTTACAAAAAAAAGAAAAGAAAAAGTAAACCAGTGGATCCATGCTGCTTCATAGCAGCCAACAGGGCAGACCCAGTGCTTCTACTATTTCTCTGAAGCTCACAGAGGCTTGGTCAGCACTGCCCAGAACACTGACATCATCCAGTGACCTTAGGGCTGACAATCTGTGTTCCCAGCCTAGAGTTATTTTAAAATTTAGGCTTTTAAAAAATGTACATGTAAATATCATAACCACTTTCTACCATGCAAGTTCCCCTTTGAAATGTCTATGTGATCAACTTTCTTAGAAAATCCTACTTGGGTCACCTGGGTGAGGTACTTCCCTTCAAGGGGATAAAAAGCAGGCCACCAAACAGATGCAGGAACCAGCATTGGGTCTTGAGCTTCTTCCTGGTGTTTTTGTGCTTTGTTCACTGCTTTCACTCTTTGCAAATAAATCCTGCTGAGGAGGCAAGGAGTGTAAGGAAGGAGCCCTCATAAGAGGGCAAGGCCTGGCAGGCAGCTTCTCCTGGTTAACCCTTCACTGTTCACATACAGATTACCCAAAGCAGCTTCACCATCTGGGGCTTCACCAATCTCTGGAGCATGTAATCTTGTCAAATCAGGAATGTGATACTAGTGTGACTCTTGGATGTTATTTGTCCTCAAAGACAAAAGGTGAACCTCCCTCCCTATTAAACATATCTAAAATAACCAAGAGAAACAGTGGCCACTTTACCCCAGCTCTGTGGGGGAAGCTTAAAGGAACCATGCCCAACCAGGGGCGCTTACCGTGAGTCTGTTATGCATATTCTCACATTATATACGTGATCTAGTAGCATAGGTTTCTCAAGAAGACTTTAATCAGAATTTATGATATGTCGGACCAAATAATACTTGTTCACTCCATGTGGAAAAAACACTCTAGACAAAAAGAAAAAAGCGGGGAAGCAAGGCTGGCAGGTGGGGGTGAGCACAGGAATCAAGAGGATAAAGAGAGTTGTTCACAAATCAAATTAAAAATATGTGCTTCAGATGAAATTATGGCATTTGCAAGTACTTGGATCAAGCTGGAGAATATCATGCTAAGTGAAATAAGCCAAACCCCAAAACCAAAGGCTGAATGTTTTTTCTGATAAGTGGATACTGATCCATAATGGGGGCAGGGGTGGGTAGGGAAGAATGAAGGAACTTTGGATTGGGCAGAGGGAAGTGCGGGGAGGTGAGAGGGTGTGGGAGTGGGAAGGATGGTGGAATGAGATGGACATTATTACATGTATGATTATACTACCGGTGTGATTCTTTTCTGTACTATGTACAGCCAGAGGAATACGAAGTTGTGCTCCATTTGTGTACAATGTTTGAAAATGCATTCTTCTATAACTACTTAGAACAATTTTTTAAAAATAAAAAATAATGTGCTTCAGAACCTAATAAATTCCCCCAGAGAGTGTGTGTGTATGTGTGTGTTGGTTGGTTTCTTTTTCTTCTTCTTTTTTTTTTTTTTAGCAAATGTATTGGACAACATAGGTGGTTATTTAATTATCCACTCAAAATAAATCGAAGTGATAAAGTGATCACTGAACCCTGAAATCCTAAAAGATGATCCCTACTGTGATAACTGCAGCCCTCCCCTCCCGTGGAGTTGCAGCATGTGATTTTGCAGAGAGAACAGGACATTGATGCCCTCCCTACATTCCAAATGGCTGAAGGACCAAAGGCATCTGGGGGAAACTTACCAAGGTGTTAGTTATGTGATAGACTGAGCTATGGATATATTTATGTTGAAGCCAATGGGAAGCATGCATGATTATAGATGAAATGGGCATCCTTTGTAATCCAACAAGTATTTATGATTTGTATAAGACAAAATTACCATTTTTGTCCCTGTTTATTGGTGCAGGGGATTGAACCTAAGATCTTGAGCATGTTAGACACATGTTCTACCACTGAGTCACACCCACAGCCTCTGAATGCTCATTTTTAGTCCCTGCTATACAAAATTGTGCTTTTACTAACTTGAAAATGGCCTTCAAAATGCTCTGGTGTCTCTCCATTACAAATTACAAGGCACCCAGCTATTTTTTCACAAAGTCATGTTATAACCATGTTTAGTGGAGCTACTGTTGAGCCTCAAAGATGGTTAACACCCTTTTCCCTGAAAATTAGCACCTTTTGGGACATATTTATGTTAGGGAAAACAGCCCAGAAAATGTTGGGAGGGCATAAGATCCCAGACCCCCTCTGGGGAGGATGTTTGTTTCCCAGGTCCATCTCATGATTGGCTGATTGCTCCAGTTGCTGGGTGGGGTGGGGACTGGGAAGGCTCCCTGCTCTGGCCATGGACAAGGGAAGCCCAGTTCCCTTCTGTGCTTCAGAACCCCCTTCTAGCCATTCTCCTGCTTGCACTCATTTGCCTAAAGCCATCTGTGATTTTGATGCTGAACAAGAGGACCCATGGGACCTGGGTGGAGGGTGCTAATTGGAGCATTATCCCTATTCTCTTTGGTGCAATCCACTCCAGGGATTGGCTCAGCAAGTGGTAAGTTGCACATTCTACCAAGATCTTTCCCTTATTTATTTATGCCACAATTTCATTACCAAAAATTGGCCCTGGTGCTGTGTTTGGTACTCTGTGTGTTGGGACCTCAAGTGCTTCTGAAGGTGAGGTGGCTGCTGTGCAGGATTCAGAGTATCTAAAGATAGACAATAGTGTCCTCATTGGACAAGGTGCTTCTAGGAATGTAATAGAAATGGAGTGACTGCCAATTTGCTAAGACCCTTATGGAGTGAAAGTCAGTGCCATCCCAGGAAATACCATTTGAAGGTAAGAAACTGAGGCATGAAGGTCATGAGGTAATAATAATCAGAGCCTGGGCTTATGACCTGAGAAGCAAGGTTGATTACTCATGAGAAACATCATTCTAAAATTAATTTCCCCCTGTATGTTTTACATATGCATTGTCTAAGTTGCAAATATACTCACCCAAATCATTAAATGCCATCCATGACATGGGAGAACAGTTCCTCACCTTTTCATTTTAGCAAGAATCCTATTCAGTTGAAACAGCAACAACTTCCCTTTTTTTTTTTTTTTTTTTTTTGTAATTCACTGAATCCTCTAAACAACCCTGTTTGCTTTTTTCTTAGATGTTGAAACTCTTCAGGTGACGTTACCCACCTTCTAGTATCCATTTATCTTTTAAATTATAAACATCTAAACACCCTAAGTTTTGTGTGCAGTAAGGCAGGGTGTGATTGGATAAATTATTACTCAAGAAGCAGGATAAAAAAATTTTGAGTATTAAATCTGACATACAAAGTCTATGGTTTAAAAATAATTCTAAGCTTTTGTTCCATGCTTACCCATGGTGAAGGGGAGAGGATAGTTTTATTCCATTCTCTGCCTTCCCGAAGGATCTCCCAAAGCTCCTTCTTGCTTTCTCCAAGGTGGGGGAATGGAAGTGGGGGAGCTGGTATCTGTCCCTGCACATGAATTTTGTGCAAAAAAAGAACTTCTTTTCTTGTCCCTTTTTCTCCCTTTATCAAAGTCATTTCTAGAACTCCACATGATGTTTTCCAGCTCACTTGATCATGTCCAGTTCTAACCTTAAGTGATATGTCTCTCTGTCCTCAAGAGTGACACAGTATGACTTTGGCTCTGTATTGGGCTCCATGTTGTACTAACAAAGTGTCCAGCAGACCCCAGGTCACGAGGAAAAGGCAGAGGATATGGCTGTCTGGGTAACTCCATTCCCTGGCTTCACCCTTTCTGAGGATGGGATGCCCACAGCACTGCCAGGAAAGAGAGGAGCTGCCCAGCCTAGAATAGGCCACCAGGATATTCTGTGATGATGGAAATGCTCTGTACCATTGCTGTTGATTTCTTTCATTTGACTACCGTGACTGGCCATTGATGGGGAAGCTAATTCTCAATTTACTTCATTTAAGCTCCATTAGCTCCAAGTGCCTGGGGTTCTTACTCAGGACAGGGCAGTCACATTTCTTCTCCCAATTATGTTACTTTCTTTGCTCTTCACCACTTCCCAGTGTCTTTGATTAGCAATGTTGGCTTCACTCACTGAATTTAGGTCATGGTTCTCATTACGTCCAGCCCCAAGGCTGGGTGGGGGTGGGGAGGCAACAGAGCAAGGTGGGCTATTGATATCTGATCTGCAGATGTGGGTGCCAGAAGCAGGTGTCTTTACTTAGGAACTCTCTTTGGACATGAGCCTTTAGATTTGACAGGAAGGTGTCAGAGCAAACAGCAGGGCTTTTTAGAGGTTTTGTTTGCTTACAAACAAATTGCAATTGGCAACTTGTCCATCCTTGGGCCCAAATACATTTGAAAGTATGCCACTAACAATACATGTCCCCAGATCTCTGGGATTTATGCTCAGCAAACATAGTGGGGAGAAAACTAGAGGAGCTGATATGGCAAGGAGAGGTGATAAGAAGACAGTCTCCTGGGAAGTGTGGCCCATGAGGCTTCTGGGCTGTTTACTCACTGGTCAGTCTGAGGAGCTGCAGTAAATTTCTAGCAAATATAGGATTTAGACAAATTTGCCCAGGGCCAAATCCTACAGGCTTTTTCCTTGTCCTCCCAGGGTGTTCTTCCCTCATTTCTATGAAATGTTGATGTAAAGAATTAAGAACTAACAAATGCCTTATAAAAAGAAATAAAAAGAATGTTTTATAACCAATAGGACATAATCCCACCCTTTGAACTGCAAATGAGGAAATGGGCTGAGGGCTACAGAGAGCAGCTCATTCCTAGGGTCCATGTAGAGGGAGAGGCAAGCTGTGGGAGTAGACAGCGAACCTAGGATGCTCCTTCCCTGCAAGTCTGCCCTGTGAATACTCTTCTGTAAGGTGTCCTATTCTTTTTATTATCAGATTTCTCTCAGATTTCATGTATAGCCTCTCCTGTAAGGAGTGATCTGTTTCAGGCAGCCACACAAAGATCCCTATCTAAATCATGCCTCAGAAGAAGTTGTCTAAAAGGATTGGGAGAACAAAAGCTGTTTCAGATTAGGAAAATAGTACTGAAGTGTATTTTTTTCTCCATGTATGACATGTGTCCTGATGTGAGGTTCCAGTGAAGAAGCTCGAAGCATTGAAGCCCCCATTTCACTGTCTTCCAGGAAATGTTGGAGAAAGCTGGCGTCCTTACCACTGTATCCAAGACAGGCCGACACAAGGCATGGGTGAGGTGAAGGCCAAGGGCATTTGTGATGGCCAGGAAAGGTGAGCCAGGGCAGTTCTCTAGGGGCTTGATAATCTGGACTACACAGTATGCCCTCAGAAATGTTACTTTCAAAAGAAATGTTTTACTTTTTTTAAAAAAATGTGTGTGTGGTGGGGGGGGGGGGGGGGGGCGTTTAAAGCAGTTGCCCAGATTGAAGAATTGTACATATCTAGAATTAAAGTTTAGCTGTCTTTGTGATGTTCTAAGTAGGACACCTGTGATTGGCCTATGATATCACAAAGATTGACTCCAAAGAAAACAGACACTTGGTATGTTAATTAGGCAAATCCAGATTCTTTCTACTTTCCCTCCTCTCTGCCACAAGAGGGTCTGTGCTCTGATGTGGCATTCTGGTCCTCAAAACTCTTAGGGTTGTTCCTGGGAAAATGATCTAAAGGACATTCTGGGCTCACTCTGGTGGGGAGGTGGGGGATGAGGGCTACTGTAGCAGCAGGTGCAGCTGGGAATGGATACATCCCTGAAGGCATCTGAGAGGACTCTTCTAAGGCTGCCTTCATAACTGAGCAGTGCCAACTACTCTTCCTGTCAAAGATGCCCACCACATTCCCAGGCCCACCTGCTACCAGAAGAGGACACTGTTAGTGTCACATCATGTCACCAGCAGGCAGCTGGTGGCAGAGTTTGTAATGTCACAGGCTTCAACGCAGCATTCTGTACACACAGGGTGTGGGCAAGAGGGTTAAGATATAAGACACATGGGCTGAATCCCTGTGACCTCACACCATATTCTGCCATCAGCTCTCTGCTGGTGGCAAGATGTGGAACTAATGTCTTCCACAATCCCTTCCCCAGGTCTGGGACA